TTGAATAATTTCTCTACTAGACTCTCCTTATCTAAAAAAAAATGGGTAAAGTATTAGTAAAGCAAAACTTTTGATGTTTCGTAGAGAGACAAAATCAACGCCGTATATCTAAAATTCCAATTACAATTTGGAATTCGGATTCGATACATGATGGTCCTAATATTCCCTTACATCCTCCTCCGTTACATGACCATATTATCTACGTGTCTTGAACTACTTCCAAGAGTTTGAGTCTTTTTAACATGCTTTGTTCCCACTCACATGTTTCTTCGAAAAGTTGTCACGAGCACACTGAACATAAAATTACTCCTAATAAAATATATTTAACTTTCCTGTTCCACTTCCAGTCACGAAAAAGAAAGGTGCACCTTATTGATATGGATAATAATTTCGGTCCTTTTAAATCTTTCTTAACTTCACTCTCATTTGAATGTAGTCTCGATTCATTTACGTACCTTATTTATATATTTTGATAATATAATTTTTATTAGACAAATTTGAATCTCTTGAAGAACTAAAAAACTATTTGAAGCTTGAATAATAATTTAATTCAAATGGAAAATATTAATTAACATGTTGCCAAGTTAAAAAAAAATTAAAAAATGGCATTCTCTATCATGTCGTAAGATTTAAACCATATAAAAAATAGAAATAATAAAAAGAAATTTACATATGATATGCATTACACGTCGAAGATTTGTATGATTTTCTATTTGTATTAATCATATAAATTTATATCAAAGTGGCAAAGAAAAAAATGTTGATGTTCATTAAAAATTAGGCATTTCATAGCCATGATCCATCTTGTTCTTCATATTCTATTAGTTTTTGGTGATTGGTGTTTAAAAGATTATTTAACATCATTTCGTAGCTTTGCAATGAAACTAAACCCTATGTAATCAAATTTGAATTCGCATCATAATTGTCCCACCTCGATTGGAAAGGGGAACGAAGTATTCCTTAAAAGTAACAGTCTCGTGTCTGGCACCGCTAGTAGATATTGTCTGCTTTGACTCGTTATGTATCACCGTCAGCCTCACAGTTTTAAAACTAGTTTGTTAAGAAATACTTCGTTTCTTTCTCCAACTAATTTGGGATCTCACAATCCGCCAACTTGGGGGACCCATAGTTCTCAGTGGCACATCACTTGTTGACTGGCTCTAATACCATTTGTAAGATATTGTCTATTTTTTATCTGTTATGTATAGTCGTTAGACTCTCAGTTTTAAAATGTGTCTACTAGGAAGAGGTTTCCACACCATTGTGAAAGTCATTTGTTCTAATATTTCGATTGGAGTCTCAATTTCCAAAGTGTTAAGAGTGTTCCTCGGCTGGAGAGGAAATGATCGGTTCACGCTAGTTCAATTTGGTGACTAGGTTAGCTTTGGTCTAGTTCTCTTCAATTCAATGAGTCTTTCTTTCATCGAGAACCTTGCTTCCACCTCGTGTTGGCCTTTTGTGATAGTCTTCATATTCTTAGAAATCGAGAAGTAAGCAACATGACCATGTCATAGAAGATATAGTAAACTATCGAGACCATTAAGTGTCAAATCTAGATTCTGAATCCTTAGATTGATCATTACAAATGGTATCAAAACGATATCTCTCTTAGTAAGATGTGGTTCAAGGACAAATCAAGGTAGAAACTGGTAGGCATGTGTGACACCCGAGTAAAGGAGGGACACATGAATGAACCGTGACGACATCCTAATCGAAGCGATCGTGAGAATAAGATTGCTAAAAAAGATTTAAAAGAATGAGATGTGCACTTTAAAAGTTTCTTCAAATTTTCATTAATATTCTTAAATTAAAAAAAAAATCTAAAAAATACCCATATATTAATTTTAAATGAAAACGGTCTGTACTTTCAAAAATATTATTGAACTTTAAAATAANAAAACACTAAGTAAAAAAAAAAAAAAAAAAAAAAAAAAAAAAAAAAAAAAAAAAAAAAACTTAGGTTTAAAAAATACCCATAAAATTTTAAAAATAGCATTAATATAATTCTTATTGTCAATATAAGGAAGAAAACTCTCTCGACACCTCACAAATTATCTACAAACATTTTAATGTTTTTTTGAAAAGTTTAAGAATATTTTTGAAACGTAGTACTGTAAATAAAGTGTTGTTGATTTTTTTTATAAAAAAAATTCCATTAATAACGGGTATTTTTGAAATTTCAATTATATTTTTGAAACAAAATATTAATGATTTAAATTTTTTTTTTATAACATTATTGATTTTTTTAAAAAAATTATGAATATTTTGGATTTATATAAAGTTTAAAGGTATTTTTATTAATTTAGTATAAATTATTTTTCTATTTTTTTAAATCATTATTCATAATTTAACATAACACAATCTATTTTTATATTCATATATATATATATATATAGTACCACACGCCCAAATATAAAATAATTAAAACATGGCTTACGTTAGGATTTATTTTATAAATTTATTTATTTTAGTATTCACTAACTTTATAAGAATTAAAAAAAAAAAAAAAAAAAATAGGTGAAAGACTCTATAATAGATATATGTATATGTAAATATGTTGTGCTCTCCACCTTGTTAGTTATAGGGAAAAAAAAAATTATTATTACAAATTCTTACTATAAAATATAGGAAATTATGGTATGGAACGGGTATTCAGATTACCTCATTTGTCGGTCAACAATGTAAGATATCTAGGTATTTCGAGATGCCCGAACATCTTAAGATGACAATGATAGAGGTATTAACGAGTTTTAGAAGCCCTTTTCAATTATGAGTTTTTAAGATTTCACTATATTAAGGAGTGAACATTTTTCTTAGTTGCACGGGTCTGGGGAAAGAATAGAAAAGATGATTTTACTATATTTCTGACATGGAATGGGTCCTATCACAAGAATATTTTTTTAGTGCGACGATAGCTCTGAAAAGATAGATTGCCAATCTTTTCTTTAATCTCGGGAGAAATACGATCTGGGGCTAATTCAAACCCTTCGGGTAAAATAAGAACCGCCCCCACATTCAAACAGCCCCTTTTCCCATTCGCGAGTCTAGGGACATTTGGCCTGTATGTCTTTACTTTCCGTTGAAATTTAATGCGCAATATTCATTTTATTTTACTTCTTACAAATTTCGCAATATATATAAAAGTCGAGCATCTATAATTGAGTTAAGATCGAAGGTTTCGATTATCTCAATTTCGAAACAGAACAAACAGCTCCTTAAGAGTTAAAACCGAGTGAGTAGTAAATGTAATTTCCATAATTCTAAAAAATATATCATTAATAAATGAAATCAAAATTTGTAGAAAATTATTGAAACAAAATTTGGAAGTATATAGTCCCAATTTGGAATTTGATTCATGCTCTTATTTTTATATTTCATTCATGGTTCTATTATGTTGTTATAATATTACATAGAATACTCAATTATTTATTCATATATCATAAGAGACTAATTGATAACATTTCTATTAATTATTCAATATTTTTGAAATTAAGTAATGGTCCTTGATGATGTAATGCATTATATTATGTGAATAATATGAAGTTTGACTCTTAGGCACAAAATAAGAACTAAAGTATTAAGGGAAAATATCTCATATTATGAAATCATTCGAAGATATTGTTAGAACTCAAAATTTATAGTATATGAATCTCATCTCTTATAACGGTTCTTTGTTTTCGGAGGCGAAAATTGACACGAGGATTGTTATCAATAATTCATTGGCTTTATAAATAGCATAGTTCAAATAGTTAGATATTAGTAGCGTTCGTTAAAAGTTGTAAGCTTCACAAGACTGTCAATAAAAAAATGTTCTCAAATCACCCGTCCTTCGAGAATACCTTCAACATGTACTAGGGTGTATGTGTGACTCGTTCAGACTATGACCGGGGCAAAAGAAGGTACAAAAAATTTTCTATATCAATCATAAATGCCAATGAATGAATGAATGGAAGAACTCCGTTCACCCCCTAAAAATAGGCCCCCTTAGATTAAGTTGATCATGAGAACCATGTTTTTAAAAATATGGTATTATTGTTTACTTAGGGATTTAAGAATATTATATTTGTTGTTGTTTAGTAAGTGAAACATGGTAGTTCTTATTAGGTTGTTCTTATTAGGTTGTTTTTATAGTTAGATCACACATGCACGTGCACTCAATGACGGTGCTTTTTATAGATATGTAACAACACAAACTCCCGATTAAGAAATATTGTCCTCTTTAAATTTTTCCTTTCGGACTTCCCCTCAAGGTTTTTAAAAAGTGTCGGTGAGGGAGAGGTTTCCACACCCTTATAAGAATGTTTCGTTTTCGGACTTCCCCTCAAGGTTTTTAAAAAGTGTCGGTGAGAGAAAGGTTTCCACACCCTTATAAGAATGCTTCGTTTTCGGACTTCCCCCTCAAGGTTTTTAAAAAGTGTCTGGGAGAGGTTTCCACACCTTTTTAAGAATGCTTCGTTTTCAGACTTCCCCTCAAGATTTTTAAAAAGTGTCTGTTAGGGAGAGGTTTCCACACCCTTATAAGAATGCTTCGTTTTCGAACTTCCCCTCAAGGTTTTTAAAAAGTGTCTGTTAGGGAGAGGTTTCCACACCCTTATACGAATGTTTCGTTCTCCTCTCCAATTGATGTAGAATCTCACATCAATTGGAGAGGGTTCCGAGTGCCAGCAAGAACGCTGGCCCCAAAGGGGATGAATTGTGAGATTCCAGATTGATTGGAGAACGGAACGAGTGCGAGCGAGGATGTTGGGCCCCAAAGGGGGTGGGTTGTGAGATCCCACATCAGTTAGAGAAAAACGAAACATTCTTTATAAGGGGTGGAAACCTCTCCTTATCAGACGTATTTTAAAACTTTGAGGGAAAACCCAAAAAGGATAATATCTACTGGCGGTGGGCTTGGGCTTGGACTTGGAATGTTACACTTAAATACATAAAATCAACGAGTTCAAAACCCGATTCAAACGATGAATAAACCCCCTAAAATCTAGAATTACTACATCTCCAATAAGTATTATTATGTAAGATTATTGAGTGAATGGGTAATTACAAAATAAATTAGTTCCAATGAAAGATCTTTTCTTTAACCTAATTCTCTGATCAACAATCCATACAAGTGAGAAGGAACACACACAAGAACAGAGTTTGTAAGATGACAACAAAAACTTCACCTCAAATGGGGCAGAGAAGCCTCAAGTAAGAGATACTTACAATGCTTGTATGATGAAATTGGCAAAAGGTCCGATGATTTCAAGGAGCCAAACAAATTCTACCAGCAGAAGCAGCAGCAGCTAAGCACTGCTTCAAATATTATTGTTTTTTCATTGTGCTGCTTGCACTTGCTGCTCCTCATCCACAAATTCTTCTCCGATATCTCTTTGTACAAGTCTGTAGTACAAAATGCCCATCGTTGCCAGACATGCCCTGCACACATGATTATGATTTCAAGACAAACCATAAAGCATATAAAAGAGAGAGAGAGAACAGATCCATGGGTATTACATGATTGCTATGATAAGAAGAATTTTTCTCGGATCCATTCTAGAGGGTCTTTGGTGCCGAACACGACCTTCACCAACATCATTGGCGCTCAATGCATCTTTACGAGGAGGTGCAGTCAGGGGTAGAGTTGGCAATGCAGTTGACCAGAAAGGAAGTAGTGCTCTAAGAAACTTGTGCTTAAAAGGACCTGCAGGTAACAAAGAAATGGAGTGATGACAATAAATTCCACAATACCATGGCTGAAGTAAAGAGCTCAGTGCTCTATTTGTGAAAATCACAAACAAAAAGGTTCAAGTCTCTCTAAGATATCTGTTGCGTTAGTAAATGGGGACGTTACTGTCCCGTCGGGTAACACACTTGGCTTGATGGACTTCCAAGATGAACTAACGTGATATCACAATTTAAAGGAATACAATATATATGATTTAAAAGCTTCACTCTTATATGAAAAAAACTGAAGGGGTTCTTCAATATTTGCTTATGAAATATCAGGGAATGCTAGAAGATTGAATTTGTTTAAGGTTTAGCGATTGCGAATAACCAATTGTTTTTGTGGATGTCGAAAAGGGAACATGTTGCTACAGGAATGGTATCCACCCTCCACCACCCCCTAGCCAGACAATAGTTTGATGACTATTTGAACAAAGAAACAGGTTTACGAGATCTAGAGGGAAACAAACGGCCACTTAGGAGACGACATGTTATATATCAAAAAACATGTAACGTACCTCTTCGAACATACTTCTTATGGTTACCATCTTCGTCATCAGCATAGTATGAAATTTCAGAATTTTGCCTATCATAATTGAGTGCACCTTTTCTTGTGGTAGCAACAGGCTGGATTGCAATTGAGAATTGAAAACAAAAGATATGAGAACGAACTGAAAGTAAGAAAATGAATCACATGTTGACTAAGACAAGATGTTCTTACGCCTGAAGGACTTGAGCTTTTCACAAAATTCCCTTCTGAACCAGGCACTTCAATCTCTACAATATCTGCAACGCCATTTTTGGAAGATCCTGTTCCAGTTGGGGCGGAGAACCCTTCACCCGTATTCGTCTCGATGTTTGCTATTGAATTTAATGAACTCTTATTGTTCTGTGCGTTGCCTGAAGAGGAAACCAAGGGATCTGAGGCAAATGCTGGGGGAGGACCATGGGGTTCTGTTGTTGATAATCCTACTGGATGATTTCCAAACAAATTCTTTTCCAGACCAGTCTGATGAACAAAAAGAAACAAAATCAATAAGATCATATTATGCTACAATCGCGACATAGCTCCCTTCCTTTAGTAGACACATCTTGTAACATATCGTAGGCACTAGAAGCGCAAGAACAAAAGTAGAAACATAGTCATATGAGAATTGAGATGATCATCGGTTCGAAAACTGTAACGTCAAACGTGAACATAACCTGCAAGATGGCTTCTTTTAGTTTTCCGTGTAGGCGGGATCCTGAATCTTTAAAGTTCTTTGGAGGCCATATCTGCACCAAGAGTTTACATACACCACAAAACAATCAGATATCTGAGATAATAGCATAGTTTCCATTATTGAGAGTACGCTCGAATGACCCTAGAATGTATATAACCTAGTCCTATTTCGGTGTGACCCGTTATGGAATGAACTTATAATCATGAAATCGATTCGATCGTCATATTATTGATTATAAGCTCATAACCCTAGTCCATTCCTATTTTTGGTGGAACAGATCTACTGATTCTTTGATTCCAGTTAGTAAGAAGAATCTTGAACTAAGAAAAATAGATTCTAGAAACTAAACTAAAAAGGGTATCCGGAGCAATTTCAACCATCGGTATATTCACACCAATCAAAGGAACTCAATAAAATTGATCGTGCAGAAGAAACAACACAACAATATCATCGAGTCTTCAAAGGCACATGCGAGGATCGTTTATGAATTTGACTTTCAATAATAAATAGCATGTGAATATACACCATACCGAAATGGAACATGCGGGACAGTCATATCCAGCAGGGGCAGTGGATGGAGGAAAGCTCTTGATATGTGAGACCAAGCAATCCGTATGAATAACATCTAACATGAGAACAATGAATTACATAACAAATTCAACATTTGAATTGAAATACACTCTATTCTTAGCATCTGCATGGAAAGAAGTTAAATAAATATGAGAAGTCACATACGCAAGCATCCCAATCGAGTCGTTTGAGGACCAACTCCTTCGAGCGTAGCCTGACACAGGCAACAATTTGGAGGCCAATCGTAATCTCCATTCAATACCCACTCTGAATAGGTACGAACCTTAAAAGAAAAAAGTGCAACGTTAGCATAGAATGAATCTAAAAGGAAAACATAACCAAGAGAATGTGCGAAAAATTACAGTTACTAAAATAGTATCTAAACCAAAAATATAACAATAACACATTTAAATAAAGTTATACTTAAGATTTATAGCCATAAATGTTGAAAGAATATCGAAGAAAATGTGTGAAAACAACAAAACGCTATTTTTGTTTTCAGATTTTGTTCTGGAAACTATCTTAAAAAATTATTCTGCCAAATAAGTTTTCTATATCAAAAAAAACTATTTTTTTTATAAACTCCAAACAAGCCCTGATATTCCACTAATTTCAAGATATAGGATACAATAGAGCAACAAAATCAAACTATCAATTGAACACTACCGATAAACTAATTCCACAGAAAATGAAGAGAGGTGGAAGCATGTTTTTTTTTAGCAAGAAACAATTTCTGATGGATATAATGAAAAGGAATAAATGTTCAAGGAATACAAAAAGCAAAAATGAGTGAAAAAAATACAAACAGCAAATATCCAATAAAATAAATACGCGCACAGCTAATAGATATTGTCTTTTTGGACTTTCTCTTCCAAGCTTCCCCTCTAGATTTAAAACACGTCCACTAAAGAGAGGTTTCCACACCCTTATAAAGAATGTTTTGATCCCCTCTCCAATCGATGTGGGGATCTCACAATCCACCCCCTTGAGGGCCCAACATCCTCACTAGCACACCGCCTGGTGTCTAGCTCTAGTACGTAATAGCCCAAGCCCATGGTTAGCAGATATTGTCCTCTTTGAGCTTCTCCTCAAGATTTTAAAATGCATCTACTAGGGGAGAGGTTTCCACACCCTTATAAGAAATGTTTCGTTCCCCTCTCTAACCGATGTCAGATCTCATAATCCACCCCATTGAGGGACCAGCATCCTCGCTGGCACATCGCCCAATGTCTAGCTTTGTTACCAACTGTAATGACCCTTAATTTTCTACTGACCTAGAGTCGATACCATATGCATGACATAACTTTTTATGCAGAAAACATTCATTCAAGCAACTTCATAAACTGATGTCATGAACTTGTACGTTTAAGAAAGGGACTTTAAGGCAATACCAAAAGAAATATTAAAATAAACCAAGGTAAATATTAAAAATAACAATGCACTATACTAACCTAAGATCTACGAAATTAAATTCAATTACCTTTTGCAAGTTCCATGGTCTTTAATTGCAATGCCGCCATCAACCATACGAAGGTGCCTTACCTTTATTTGAAATATAAAAGTAGCACATGACTTAAGAATTGTAAGAAATACTCAGTAAGTCACCCCATTATTGGGGTCAAGGAATGCAAACACATGCAACCATGATTAGGGACCTATCATTTAAAACCATCATAGAGGTGACCTTCAGTCCAAACAAATGGGATGTGTAGTACTTCCCTACACACGGCTCACACGTGCGAGTGTAAGCCAACCAGGCGGCTCGCACACCCCTTGGCCCATCATAGTAAAGCTAGTTGGTCGTAGTTGGACGTCCAGAGCAAACCCTCGAATATCATGCAAAGCATGATTATCATCACCATCATTATAGTGTACCGTCCATACTCATCATCATAAAAGGGGAAGCAACCCGATGTAAATGAACACACAATATGCATGAGATCCCTATAGTTTTCATCTTAAATCATTCATGTGATACAACCCCACACATCCTTCACATGTTACTCTAGGTAACATGCGTGCATAAGTCTTCATACATTCATCATTTATAACATCATTTAGGGGTTGTGTATCATAAAACTTTTTATCATAATACAACATGGCATCTCATACATGCACATCATCATAATATGGGATATCATCATATTATGTCTAATCATCATCATACATCTCATGTCATCATGTAATAATGCATCATCATCCTAGCGTATTATAACATCATAGTACATCGTATCATCACAACATCATCATAATGTTATATAAACTCACATCATAGCACCATCGAAACACATCACAATATCATATCGAATCACATTATCATAATATCATATAAACATACATGACACGTGAAAGGGCCACTAAGCACATGTCATCATACATAAGACAAATGTTCCAACCGAGTTAATAGTAAGACCACTTACTTGGTTGGCCTAGGCTGAAACTACTACGACTCTTGATACTAGCTAATGCTACTCTCTAAAATTTAATTTTGCCTAAGGGGTCCAACAATCATAAATTAGAATTCTACTCTGGGAATTGATTCACCTAATTTTGCATAAAATAATTTAATTTTACTCCTAACAATTTAATCTAGCTAAGCCTAATTGTGCACAAATAATTTAAACTTGATTCCAAAAATTTAAACTAGCTAAAAGGTAGTCATACTAACCTTAAACGTTTCGGAAGAGTTGAAACTAGTAAGAAAGGGTCCGAACACTAGTTAAAAGTAGTCATACTAACCTTAAACGCTTCCAAAGAGTTAAAAATAGTAAGAAAGAATCTGAGCGTATCAAACCCAAGCTGGATAAGCCAAAATACGGGCCTGAAGCCGTCAAAAAATATATTCTCCAACTCGCTTCAAATCGTTTTAAATGGGATGATAAAATAAAGTAAGGCACCTCCCTTTTATAGTGGAGGTCAACCCCCCACTTCTCAACTTAAGTGATGTGGGACAATTTTCCTTTTTTTTTTTTTCCTTCTAATTTTTAGGTTATTACAACTTACACATCTAAAAAAAACTTTCGTCCTCAAAATTATCTTAATCTTGGAATTACTTCTTAGGATATTTCTCCCTCATCTCTTCCTTTTGTTTTCACATAGTTTCTTCCGATGGATGATTTTGTAAAGACCATTTTCCTAGTACAAAACACCTCCACTTCTCGGGCTAAAATTCTTATTGGTCTTTTCTCATAACTTGGGTCATCGTCTACCTATAAGAACTCGTAATCTACGACATGAGTTAGGTTATCCAAATTAATGACGAGGCAAACAATCTCATATTCTTTTCGTAGATATGAGGTAGGATGCTTACTTTTTAAGTTGTCTTATCTAGAGAATAAAGTTGTAAGTTCCCTCACTCTGACAATGTAGAAGGTTTGTTCAAATGTTTCGAGTTAGACTCAATCAATTTATGCGACCACAACTCGCACTAAAAAGGAGTATGTGAGAAGAGCTTTCTGAAGTTAAGGAATTTTCTGGTCTCAACCGTAGTATAAAGATGTGTTGGATGACATATGAAGGTCAATAAAGTTTAATGATGTTATGAAGAGATAACTAATCAGAGTAATAATGCAACTCAAAAAGTAAAAATCCTACCTCATATCTATGAAAAGAACATGAGAAAAGAACATGAGATTGTTTGTCTCGTCCTTAATTTGGATGACCTAACTCACATTAAGACACTTTCGAGGATAAAAGTTCCTTTTAGATGGGTACAATGTAATAACCCAAAAATTAGAAGGAAAAAAAAAAAGATAAATTGTCTCACATCGCTTAAGTTGAGAAGTGGAGAGTTGACCTCCACTATAAAATGGAGGTCCCTTACTTCATTTTATCATCCCACTTTAACCGTTCAAAATAGAATATATTTTCTAACGGCTTCAGGCAAGCATCTTGGCAAATGAGGCTTGGACCTGATAAGATTGGACCCTTTTCCTATTAGTTTCAACTCTTCGGAAGCGTTTAAGGTTAGTATGATTAACTTTTAAGAGTAAGCTTAAATTCTTTTATGCAAATTAGGTGAGCCAATTCCCATATTAGAATTCTAATTTATGATTCTTGAACTCCTTCGACAGAATTAACTTAAATTCTTCTATGCAAAATTAGGTGAGCCAATTCCCATATTAGAATTCTAATTTATGATTGTTGAACTCCTTCGACATAATTAAATTTCAAAGAGCAGTGTTAAGCTAGCATCAAGAGTTGTAGTAGCTTTGACCTAGGCCAACCAAGTAAGTAGCATTACTATCAGCTCGGTCAGAAGATTTGTCTTATATATGACGACACGTGCCTGTGACCCTTGTACATGTCATGTATGTTTATATAATATTATAGGATGCGTCATGATGATGTTATGATGTTATGATGTTTTGATGATGTTATGATGTTATGATGATGTTATGATGTTTTGATGATGTTATGATGTTATGATGATGTTATGATATACTATGATGCTATGATACGCTAGAATGATGATGCATTATGACATGACATAATATGATGATATCCCATATTACGATGATGTGCATATATGAGAGGTCATGTTCATTATAATCAAGAGTTTCCTAAATGATGATGTGCATATATGAGATGTCATGTTCATTATAATGAAAAGTTTTCTAAATGATGTTTTAGAGTAACATGTAAAGAATGTGTGGGGTTGTATCACATGAATGATTTAAAATGAAAACTATAAAGAATTCATACATATTGTATTTCATTTACATTGGGTTACTTCTCCTTTTATGATGATGTGTACGGACGCATACACTATGATGAGATCATTATCATCATCATGCTTTACATGATATTCGAAGGTTTGTTGTACCTCCGAACATCCGGCTATAGCCAACTAGCCTGACTATGATGGGTTCAAGGGATGTGCGAGCCGCCTGGTGGGCTCATTCTCGCTCATGCTCGCACGTGTAAGCCTGACTATTGTATTTCATTCACATTGGGTTACTTCTCAATTTGTACGAACGCATACACTATGATGAGATCATTATCATCATCATGATTTACATGATATTCGAAGGTTTGTTGTACCTCCGAACGTCCGGCTATAGCCAACTAGCCTGACTATGATAGGTTCAAGGGGTGTGCGAGCCGCCTGGTGGGCTCATGCTCGCACGTGTGAGCCGTGTGTAGGGAAGTAGTACACATCCAATTTGTCCGAACTAGAGGTCACCTCTATGATGGTTTTAAATTATAAGTCTCTAATCATAGTTGCATGTGTGCACTCCCTGACCCCAATAGTGGGGTCACGAGTATTTCTTGAAATACTCAACCATGACCCCAATAGTGGAGTCACTTACTAAGTATTTCTTAAAATACTCAAGTCATGTGCAATAGTGGGGTCACTTCCTGAGTATTTCTTGAAATACTCAACCATGACCCCAATAGTGGAGTCACTTACTAAGTATTTCTTAAAATACTCAAGTCATGTGCTACTTTTATATTTCAAGTAAAGATGAGGCACCCCGTATGGTTGACACTTTTATATTTCAAGTAAAGATGAGGCACCCCGTACGGTTGACATCGCAATTAAAGACCATGGAACTTACCTAGGATAGTTGCATTTAATTTCGTAGATCTTAGTTAGTATAGGGCATTGTTATTTTTAATATTTACTTTTTTTTTCTTTTTTTTTTTTTATATTTCTTTATTGTAAAGAGTCCATGACATCGTTTTATGAAGTCATTTTAAATAAATATTTTCCACATAAAGAAGTTACGTTATGCATATGGTAGCGCCACTAGGTAGTAGAAAAATAGAGTTGTTACATAAACATTTAAAGAACCAATAAATTTTCTAATATTTTTTACCAAAAGACTTAGAGAGCTTTCAAAAGAAGGATGAAACTACGAATAAGGCATTGCTGAGAATCAGTAGTTACCTCATATCTTCCGAAAATAAAAACAATAATTAATAATCAACCAACAAAAAAAGTTTAAAACCAACCATAAGGCAACCTATTCAACAAAATCAAAAAGATTGATTCCATCAAATTCTTAACTTCCAGATTCAAATCTGCACAACTGCTCGAAAAAACTCTTCAGCTTTGCAATAACAACAATCTTGTAAAAAGAAGCTTTTGCAGAACCATCACTAGCAAAGAACTAAAAAATTTCTTCATGTAAGTTAATCCAATTACCTCAGAAAAGATAAAACAAAACCTTTCAAAGTAAATCATAACATGACTTCCTTCTTAAGCCATACGAGAACTTTCACGTAACTCAAGACCACATGCTTCTATCAACAGAGCAAATTTGTTTGGATTGGCTGAAGAAATAAGAAGAGTTTTATTATCACAATCTTGAACTGTTAAGTCAAAAGCTTCAGAAAAAGAATCCTCAAGAATGTCAGCCTCCATACTGCACTGGTTGATGACTGATTTCACACAACTCAAACTTACCTCAAAATCAACCTCAGAGATGCCATCACAAGGTGTAAAGTCCTTTATCAAGTAAACAACTCCTCTGATTAAACCTACATCTGGATCCAAAGGGGTGAAGACAAAATGGTTGTCTTAGGGTAAGATAGGCGAAGAGGAGGGTGGAAAGGCAACATTTGGATGCTAAAAGCTCTGTACATCTTTCTTCAATTGAATCTGAATTCAAAGAGTTTTCCCATTCTTTAAAATGCCGGCTGGAATTACTAAAAGGATGACACTGTCTAGAGACTTTTAATATGATGGGGGAGATTTCACGGCTGGAACTCATCTTGTGAAATGGAAATACTTTTCTCAATGGAAAATTCCTTTCTCAATTCAAAGAGTTTTCCCATTCAAAGAGTTTTCTCAATGCTTCTTGGTAGTCTCACAGATTAGCAAATTCTTTTGTAATTAGGGCAGCTTCTCAGGGAGTGGGAACTCTCTCCCCCAGGCCTTAGGCAGTCTTTCGTTTCTCTCTTTCTTTCAATACATTTTACAGGTTTCTTATTAAATTTATAAAAAAAAAAATTTAAAGGGTAATATGTTCCAACAAAGATAAGAAAAAAGAGCAACATACCAAATGGTCCCCTGCCTTTTATCTTGGAAGGGTAAGTAAAACCCCAAAAATCCCAAGAAAAAAAAAGAATTCAAATTGAATCACATAAAAAGAATATCCATATTCTTAGAAGCACACTCAAATAAGACACGGCACGAAGGCCTAACACCAAAGAAGACATCTTTTGATGAGGGCTGAAATTCTATGCTTAAGAGACATTAACATGATTTACACCTAATCCATCACTCTCTATACGCACACATATCAGGTGAACCCTTTCGTAAATAATCCCTTTCTGCACTGTACACAAAAGGTGGAAAGTATAATGGACTATCATGGTAGCTAAGCATCCAAATTATCTATCAGCTCATCATATTGTAAACCGCAAGAAACTAGAGAGAAAAAGAGTGCTATACTGGGGAATGGCAATGCAGCTAGAAATAAACTACAAAAAACACATGCGATAAGAAACTGAAATACAAAATGAATTTTTCAAATACACAAGCTTACCACGCATATTTGGTGTTCTTGGAAACAAATGCATTCTCCACATACGGGAACCTTATGAACAAAACAATACAACTTCGTGGCCTGACGCACCAAAAACACAAAACAAACGGTATTCGTAAGTTCATTGATTTTAACAAAGCCAGAAACAACAAGGTTGTAACCATAACAAATTAAAGCAACAATAAGAAAACTTAATTCAATTAAACAGTAAATCAATCAGCCTTAGACATTTCCTCGATCCGAATAACGGTACTTCCAAAATTCGTGAAAATCCAGAGAAATTAACTCTTCAAACAATCAATTAGTCAAGCATTGAGATCGCTTATAATTCCAAACTCTCAAACCCGGATCCGATCCCAAATCCCAACGAAATGAATATCAACCAAGCCTCCACGTTACAATCCGAATCAGAAATTATCCAAAATCCTGTATAGTCAACAGAAGAGGCAGGAGGAGGGAGAGTTGTAGTACCTTGCGGCATTTGCAGACCACCATTGCAGTGACCAGTGCGGAGACGCTCTGATGGATACAATGGCGAAGCTAACAATTCAACGACATGGATTCAGATCTCCAATGCTCTCAAATCTTTGGTAGAAATTACAATGATCAATCGCCTTGAGCTAGCTGTGTGCGAATGTATCTGAAGAACAATCAAACCCCCCACCGCACACGGTAAAATGGCAAGTGTTCGCTTCGCCGATCCGTTCCCAACAGCTCCCTCTCTCTCTCTCCCCCTTTTTTTTTTTTTTCCTTTTAAAATTTTTGCTAAAGTTATAAAATATTTAATTTAAAGATTTTTAAAATATTTTTTTGAAATCATTAATATTTTATTTAAAATAGATATAAAAAAAATAAAATATAAAGGAAAATTTTAAAATTAATTATATATTTTTTTCATTTTCAATTTTAAGGGCAGAAAATCACACCTTAATTGATATCTTTTATCCACATAATATACTAAAATAATATATTAAAAAATAACACTTCAAACTTTAATAATCTACTAAATTACTAAAATATCCTCAAACTAGGTTTACTTTTCACAGCTACTGTAACCCCTCGCCACTACCCTCGTCATCCACCACAAGAGAATACCATCGACAACCTCAACTAAATTCGGTGGTCACTTACAACGATCAAATAAATCGCTGCCACTCATCAAAAGTCATAATGCTTTTAGAGACACCTTGTCTTGATTAATCGAGCTCAATAGATCATATGGTTTGATAATATTTGGTATCCTATATGTTCGTCTCGTATCGTATTTTGACATGTGACATTGAAGAAGAGAGAATATAATAAACGTGTTTAAAAAAAAAGAAAGTGGAGATTTTGACTGGGATGATGACGTGGCAAGTGGTGGACAAGGAGGAGACCACGTGGAGGGAATTTAGTTGAATCAGCCAATGAAAGAGGGCCATGTGGTGAATGTGACAGTTTTTAGTTGTCAGTTATGGAAGCACTGTTCGACCCTAAAAAGAAGGAACACGCGTCAGCATGGCGAAAGAGAAGCGCGTATTGATGACGTGGGCTTAACCGTTGCTGTCACGTAGACGACATAAGGCGACGACTCTAAAATTTCAATTTTTAACTAAATTACAAAAAATACTCGTAATAAACTTTATTTTTAAACTTTTTAATATTATACTTCCTCTTTTATAAATATTTCAAATATTAATAATTTAATTTTAAAAATATAAAAATCAAATTTGAATGATCTATTAGATAAAAAAAATATTATGTATCTATTTTATATTTTTAAAGATAAAATTCAAAATTCAAAAATATATTAATTACATAAAATAAATATGCTAAAACTTCATTTTTATCCTTGAATTTAATTAAATAATATATACAGTATTATTTAAATTTAAAATAAAAAGAATTAAGGAGTTGGGTGGGGAGGTTGGATGATGGGTGTTAGCCAATAGAAAGTGAACAGCTGTCGAATAGATTGGTGCCACGTTGGAGCATTGTGAGTTGGAAACGGCAGTGATTTATGGAAAATGCGATAAAAAAGTACACGTGGCCCATTAAAAAAAATGAATACTATTTTAAACCAATTTATTTTTTATTTTTAAAATTAAAATTTTATTTCCTCATGAATTACATTTTATTAAAAAATATTAATTCAAATGTAAATAGTTTATATATGTTATATTTAATAAACAAATATTTTACCCTAATAATTCAATTTCATTCAAAACTAAAAGAATTACTAATATTTTTATTTTTTTTAATTCCTAAAAATTAAAAAATATATAAATTAAATTTATATATAATAAATGATGACTAATTAAATATAAAATATAAAAAAATCAGAAATAAAACGGAATTAATGCGTGAGGGACACTCCATAATTCTCCCACTCACTAGTAACGTCTAGTTCTTCTAATTTCCATTTTTTAATTAATTATTAAAATAATAATAAATAAATAAAAATAAAAATAAAAACACAGTCAACCCTTTTTAGTTTGACTTTTTCAAGGTCCCATAAAGCCACCATTTAGCCACCGCCAACCACACCCTCAGCTTCCAACTCCCTTCCTTTCAGTTGACCGACTTCACTACTCACTCACCTGTCCACCTCCCTCTTTATAACCCAATTTCCCTTCCTCTTTTCCCTCACTCCCAACTAAAAAAACAAACCTCACCCATGGCCTTGGAAGCTCTCAATTCCCCTACTTCCGCGCTCGTCCACGACCAGCTCCTCAATCATAAGCCCTTCGACCCATTGACCCATCGATCCAAGCGTTCCAAACGACCCCGGTTCGACTCCGACGACGAGTACTTCGCTTTTTGCCTTCTCCTTCTAGCCCGTGGCAGAATCTCAGATTCTGACACTGACAATAAGTCTTCTTTATCTCCGTCCCAGTCTTATGCTTGTAGTATTTGTAATAAATTATTTTCTTCCTATCAAGCTCTTGGTGGTCATAAGGCTAGCCATCGGAAATCTGATGGCGGTGGAGGAGGCGGTGGAGAGAAAGTATCGGCGGCGATTACTGCCACCATGTCTAATTCTTGTAGGACCCACCAGTGTTCCATTTGTTTTAAGTGTTTTCCCACCGGTCAGGCTCTCGGCGGCCATAAGCGACGGCACTACGACGGCGGCAGTGGTAATAAAAGTAATAGCTCTAGCTTCACGCAAACCCATATCCGGGAATTTGACCTTAACGTCCCTGCCGTGCCGGAGGTCTGGTCGAGATTTCCCGCCAGTGACCGGCAGCAAAAAAGTCAAAGTCAAAGTGCAAAACAAGACTTTGCAGAGGAAGAAGTGGAGAGACCTCACCCGTTGAAGAAGCTGAGGATTCCGATTCCGATTCCGATCTCCGACGACCCAAAATCCTCTGTTTTTTGTTCTTAGATTGATTTGATTGTGTACAAAGATAAGAAGAGTTGTTAATTATTTATGGATTAGATTAAATTTGTTTTTTGTTCTTTTTCTTTTAATATTTTGTCAGGAAAAAAATAAATAAATAAAATAAAATCCTTGAGGTTGACGACAATATATAATGCTAAAAAATGGACAATATCGGTTAACAATGGGCCAAGAAGTTGGGCCCCTAATGGATTGTTAAATCTCACCGGTTGTAGAAGGTAACAAAACATTCCTTAACGAGCATAAAAATCTCTCAATAACAGATATCCAAAATGGACAATATCGGTTAACAATGGACCAAGAAGCTGGACCCCTAATGAGCGATTGTTAGATCTAATCGATATCCAAAATGGATAATATCGGTTAACAATGGACCAAGAAGTTGGAACCCTAATGAGCGATTGTTAGATCTCATCGATATCCAAAATAGACAATATCTATTAACAATGGACCAAGAAACTGGACCCCTAATGAGCGGATTGTGAGATCTCACCCGTTATAGAAGATAACAAAACAGGGCATAAAAATCTCTCAACAACATAGATATTTTAAAACCGGGAAAAGGTAAACTTAAAAAAAAGTTAAAAAAAATAAAATTATTTTTAAACTTTCAAAAAATAAGTTTAGGAAACCATTAATATTTTATTTAAAAAATACTCGAAATTTTTTTAAAATTTTTTGTTTAAGTTTAAGAGTAATTTTTAATTTTTAATTAAAAGTTTTCGGGAAACTTGCCATCTAATACAATTACCGAACGAAACGTACACAAGTTATAGCTCGGACACGTCAAGGTGAAACCTACACATGCCAACTAGAAAACAAGCTCAACTCAATGGGTTATTGGCTTGTGTGAACCCACTAGCCCGAAATATACTGATGATCCCTAGGTATAGACGGTTGGAAGTGGTACTCAATGCAAAAATCACATTCGTAAAAGGTTCGATCACCTATTTGCTTAGACTAAGAACCAGCTTAAAATTAAAAGAAGTTCACCTCAGACGCTATCGTATCATATCTTGTTTGGAATTGTGCCCGAACATTTACCACAAAAAAAAATTAAAATTATAGATTTTTGCATATAAAAATTGATTAATTTGCTGAAATTTATTATTTTTTATATAAAAAAAAACAATATTTTTCTCAAAAAAATGTATTTATTATTTTTAGTAAATAAGGCGCAAAACGCTGTGTCGTTTTTCTGGTGCGATGTCAAAATCGATGAAACGACAGAAAGGGCAGTTGGTAACTAAAATTATTTAAATTATCTTTCGATACGTCGCCGTTGCGTGTAGGTGGAAGAAAATGCCATTATTAATCAATAAACTCCTAATTTCAATTATCTTTAAATAAACAAGTAATTAACCGTTAATTTTGGGAAATTTCCACGTTTTTTTAATTTGGTTTTGCATTAATTTAGAGCTTAATTATATACCATTGATAGGCAATATCTTGTTTGAATATTTACTTAATTCATTTATTTATAAATATTGAATAATAATTGAAAAAATCAACCTAAAATTTTGTTGTGACGTACCACTGAAGAGCTAATAATTGACCGAAACTCGTAGATACTTTTTTCTTATCAGTCGTCCACCACAATTACCATGTGTCAGTTTTATTAACAAAATTAAAAATAATTTTATGAAGCAACCGTGTTCAAAATGACTGGTGTACGTTAATAGAAGAAGTATGCATTAAAAGTCTACATAAATACTAAATAGATACGAGCGGTAACATGAGAAGCTAAATGAACAAAAATATAATTTTTTTTAAGTACAATGAATAGGAGTACAAGAATTTGAGCGGTTGTCTTCAAAAGAAAGAATATATGTCAGTTATCGCTGTTTTATGCTCATTTTGGCATATATAATTATAAGATATATCCGAGTGGATGAAATATTGACCTGTGACCTGTAAAGCTATATTATTGTCGATGTCTAAAGCCGTATTATTAATTTTAAATAAAATAGGATAATCCATAGAATTTATACAATTGGGCTCTTCTAATAAATATATATATATATATTAAAATGTTGGTTAGTTTTGTTAGAGAGAGATTCCAATTTGGTTGGCTAATTTAATTAATTAATTCAAGTGGAGTTTTCTTTTATTCAAGAGATTTAGAAACACATATTTATTTATTTTTTCTTTTTAAAAATTAAATTATATTAAATCAATAGTTAAATTATTTAAAAATCTTGTGAATATTAAAACATTACAATAACTAATATTTTATTTGCTTAACATGTAAAATACAAAGTCAACCGTTAACAAATATATCCAGTAGACAATATATACTAACAGTAGACTTAATTTATTACAAATGGTTATTACAAATGGTATTAGAGTTCGTCGCGGGACGATGCAAGACACTTATCTAAGTAAGGCTAAACCCTCTCCATAGTGGACACGTCACACGTCTTAAAACTGTGAAGTTGACGACAATATGTAATGAACCAAAACAGATAATATCTGTTAATAGTAAACTTGGGCGGTTACAACAACGAACACAAGTCTATCAATCCACTAAAATCTTTAGTCGAACAGAAATGATGTCTTGATGAGTTACGAGTTACGGAAAAAGGGAGTCACAAGAATTCACAAACTACAAGAATCAACAATGATGAGAACATTACATATATATACACATTCAGCATTGGCATTTACTCGTTGGCTAAAGGGATAGAGAATTGCTGCACTTTTACACAGCTAATCAAAGGGATGGGGTTTGTTTGTTTGTTTGTTCATCTTTTTCTTTTTTCCAGATACAAAGAGATACATTTAACAACATAGAGAGGAGCCACCAAGAAGGTTTCAAAACCCAGAGATCCTAAAAATCACCAATCTGTTCTTGTGTTACTTCAGTTTCTGCCTCCATCGGGTCGAAAAACGAGACGGGGTCCGTGTAATGTTAGTAGAATAACGGGTGAGGAGTGAGACATATATCATCAGGATCATATCAGTTCTACATGTAATTGTTAGGCTGCTGTCTTGTTGGAAATCGATTCAGTTGCAATATGTGCGTCCGCAAGCTACTATCTTTCACCTATTCATAACAACCAAACGGTAAAACAAAGAGAAACGCAACACGAAGACAGTTCACTTTTCGATTATCAAGACTCGATAACTACGACTAACCTGCATGGCTGCAAGAGTGGACAAAAAGTCTTCACATTGTTGAAGGAAAATCCGTTCCTTTGCCGTCACCTTAACCAGTTCAGCCACAACGGAGTTTGTTTCTTCTACCTGTGAATGAGACAACCATTTCTAAGATATAAGCTATGTAAAAGGAATACAAGTCAAGGATGCCATTATCTTTTCATTCGTAAGTGGAAAGCTACAGAAAAGGGTAAAAGCATTAGTTTTCAGCCTCCAGGATGAACACCATATGATAATGAAAATAACCAGCATCCCGAGATTTCTCATACCGAACCGAAAAACCTAAATTGAATCTACAGAAGTACATAGTTTCAAGCGATCTACTCGTAAACTTAGGCTTGCAGAAAAATGATTAACTTTATCAGACAGGTAGAAATTATAGGTAAAGCAGCACCTTAGATGAGAGAGAGCATATTGAAGATGCCATTGCCTGCATAACATCAACAGCTGAACCCACAGCATCCTTCAGGTTCTGAATATCAGCCTGATAAAATAAGAACGATTTATTTTCTTCATATTTTGAACATTGATTAGCACCGCTTTTCAATGAAGGTAGAGATTGGTGCAGGAGCACATACTATTGCTTTCCCAACAACTGGGAGCCGTAGGGTACTGGCCTTCAAAGCCTCAGTTGCTCCAAGCATGGAGCTGGAGTGATCTCTGTCTAAAATAGCCCATTCTTCCAAATAACTTATCTACAATCACATCGATTAAGTTAAAACGCTCATGTTAGAATTTGAAGAATAAAATCAACACAAAATCGATCATTCACCACAAGGACACAAACTTAAAGACATTTTTTCAGTAAGACAAAGTTACCACGCTAGAAGAGTTTATGTACAAAGTGGTAACATTATACCGTTATAGTAATATGAAGGTACATTGTCCCCAATAAGTGATATTAGAGCCCCAAAACCAGCCATGTCAAGCAGAATTCTCAAGACAATCAGACATGTCAATGGAATTCTTAGGAAAATCAGCCAGAGCCCCAAAATCAGTCATGTCGGTGGAATTCGTAACAAAATAAGCCATGTTAGCAAAATTCTTGGAAAAATCAGCCATGTCAATGCAATTCTTAGAAAAATCAGATAGGTCAGTGGAATTCTCAAGGTGCTTGAGTGATGAATAAAGAAGTTATGAGCCTCGGAGATGTAGTCTTGCTCATCCATTGTTGAGATCTATCGAACAGGCGAGATTCTCTATAAATGACTAATGAAGGGGACATATGGTGATCCTTTGTTTGAGTGGAGGATTATTGAGAAGACAATCAAAGTTCTATATTGATTAGTGTTTAGGGGAGGGTTAAGAGTATTGATAAAAATATAAAGTCTCTTCTCAATTATCCCATGTGCAAACGAAGGGGACATATGAAGATTGCATGAAAACTACCCTTTCTCAATTATCCAATGTGCAAATGGATTTGGAAGGGGTAACTTTTTTTTCTTTTTTACGAAAAACCGAACTTTTATTTTCTAAAAAATGAAAGAATGCAAGGGCTTACAAAAAAGAGAAACTCATAAAAAAGGGAGCCTAGCAACCAAGTATACAAAGGGGCTCCAATCCAATATAATAAGACCTAGCGAGTAATTGCGGAAGGACTTTGTAATCCATGCCTAAAGAGAAACATAGAATTTAACAAGAAACCCAACTTCCCCCTCCATCTAAATATTATATTATTTCACTCACATCCAAGACCCCATAAAAATGGAGGAAACCCAGCCTGCCAAAAAAACAGCTCTTTCTTGTCGAAGACGAATAAGAAGCTTTGAAATTGTCTCCCTACAACCTTGCAAGCGGGCAAAGCTAAAACTAGATGTCTAAAAGAAACATCCCCACACAACCCTAACAAAATCGCATCTTTGGAGTAAATGATCTAAAACCTCTGTTGTGCTCCTACAAAGAATACAATAGTGGTGTGACCAAAGAGGATTCCCTGGCTGACATCCAATTCCAATGTGTTAACTCTTCCTTGCATAATCTGCCACACGAAAAACTTAACCTTTTGGGAATCATAATCTTTCACACTAAGGAAAAACTAAAGTCATTCAACGGAAAAGGAAGTAACCAAACAACGAAACCTCCCCCAAATTGATGTGCCTTATTCACAAACAAGAAAGAAAAGTAAGATCACCTTATCATCCTTTGCTCAAAGGCTTCACATTTCTGGACTACCCTCCTTTAACTCATTTGGGTCGCACATTATTCTTCCTAACAGTATCATCATTACTCTTCTCCATGACTGCTTTGATTATCACCCTACAAAGACGCCCAAAAGCTTCTTTGAAAGAAACCATTGAATCTATAAGAGAAGAATGTTCTCTAGTTTGCAAGAGCATATTGCTTTGTGGATTTTACCTGGTCCAGATTGTTCAACCTTTTCGGTAACTATGGGTTTTCTTCTCTTTGCCCTAATTGTATTTTCCTTTTCTTTTCTTTTTTTAATTTTTTGAAACTTCCTTAACCTGGGATGAGGCTTTCTTCTCCTTCATTTTGTGTTTTCATTTATTCAGTGTAGTTTTTTTTTTTTTATCCAAAACAGAGTTGATACTCGTCAAAATTAAAAAGGATCCTAACCTGATGTTCAACGTAGACATATCACCTTGATATCAGTTGAAAAGGTTCAAAGTCGCCTTTCAAATGGGTAAAACTTTCAGAGCCTTCTTTTTCATATTGTATATGGTCTTTCTTTTGGGAAACAAAAATTGCATGTATGTTGAGAAACACGAAAAAGATGAATTACGGATCTAATTTTATGTACTAAAACTTGAAACCAAAAGTATCTTTCCTGCTCATATAGTAAGAACAGGCAATATGCATATATGTATGTATATATATACATGCTATAAGAAAACTTTCATTGATGCTATGAAATTACAAAAGAGGGGTAGACTCCATCCAACAGAGTTACGAGAAACTTCTTCAAGGGGAGCATTTACACCAACTAGGAACCAAGAACTAGTTCTTGTAAAAAGAATATAAAATTAGGAAAAAAAAAAACTATAGTATCAAAGAACCTAATATAGGAGAGTTCCTTATCGCATAAAAAGATCAGGTGATATCAAATAAACATTAATGCAAGTCCCAAATGTAACAATGTTGCACACATGAAATGTGTGAAAACTAGTTCACGTTTTGGCCTTATTCTACATAAGAACATTTCGATCATCCCTTTCATCCTACAAAGGTTCCTTAGTCAATTAATATTTCATTTCTCTATAAAAAAATTCTAACAAGTGGGTTAGATATTGGTCAATAATGCCACTGTCTGTGAAATTTGAAAGTTTATGAATCTTTCGATTTAGATGGTTTTGAATGTCAATCTTCAAAAGAGAACAGTCATAATCTTTTCCAAGAAAATACTGAAAACAAACTCCTACAGAACGCAGATGGCTAGGGTGCTCTGGAATATATATATACACTAAGGAAAAAATAGAAACCATCATATAAAATAGATTTACAAAAAAACACCTAATGAGAAACCAAGTCAATGAGCAGAAGTACAAATATGAGTCATTGGTCACAAATACGAAACTAGACGAATAAATTAAGACAAGAATAGAAAATTGTCAATTGGTCACAAGTTAGTCCTAAACTATCAATTTCTATCCTTGATGGTCAGGTGCTGCTTATCCAACCTTCCTAAGTCTTTTGATGGTGAAGGGCTCAACTAGAAAGAAGAAGAATAACTTCGCATATAATCAATGTAATTTGGCTCAGTGTTACTTCATTGACACTTCAAGAGTTGTAATAAAATGGCACTTCAAGTGTCATTTAGAAGAACGACGCAATGTTTTTTTTTTTTTCTCAACAAGCAAAACGAAGAAAAGATACTTATCAAGTTCGATAGCATTTTTGTGTGTGTGCTATATAATATGATGGCATTTAAAGAGACAAAAATATCGACCAAATGACGTTCTATGAGAGAAAAAAAGAAAAGGAGTCTGAATCTTACTTGTCCTTTGAGGACGGATGTCAGCTTCAATTTTTGCCGTAGTAATAGTAACTTGATTCTTTTAAGTGTGACAGTATGCCTTAGTTCTGAAATAGTGACCCATGCATTCCAAACATTCCTCTGGCGCAGAAAAAAAAAAAAAGACAATAAAACTAATGGACTCAATATCCCAATCACACTGATATAGCAGCAAGTAATTCCACAAACTCTATGAACGAAATTGTGTGTTCACATATATTTGTTTCGCATTAAAAAAGAAATGCATTCAGATATTCAAAAAATTATGGAAAAAGACACGACTAAAGATATACATGAAATTAGTAATGTAGAAATCATGAAATGACTACTTGTAGTATTAGTAAACATAAAAGGGCCAAACCAGTTCTATCGATAGAAAGCAGAAACTTCATTAATTTATTTTTCTTTTTTTAATTAAAAGATATTAAAAGGTACATGAAGGACTAAAACCACTATAAGAACCATTGGATGCTATCAAGGGCTCTTCTTTAAGAAATTTTATATAGAAGGGGGTAGGAAGATTTTTGAGGATGTTGAAAAATGAAAAAAATTAGTCGTTTCTGTAAACTTTCTTAATTTATTGTTTCTGTCCACAACTTCTTTGTTGTCATATTTTAAACCAAATCATTTCCCCCAGAATACATTCCCCACTCCATGACCAAACCAACCACAACAATCATATTCTTAGTTATTCTAGTTACAAATTATACAAACCATTTGGATGCTTGCTTATCAGGACTGGTAAAATTAACTTGAATCATCAAAATATATATCAGGGACTTGATAGGAATTCCAAGTCTCCAAACCTGAGAAAGGTAGGGGAGACCTCATGGAAGAGTAAGACTTAGTTACGTCCATGATAGATAGCACCAACATTGTAATCAACTAAATAGAACTAACTTTAACAATCATACTTTGGCCGGCTTGTATTTTGCCTTACCCAAGCATGGTGCCAGCTGCCAAGAACGAAAATGGACAGTTTAAACAAGGGGTCAAGAAATATCTTGGTGTAAACTATCTAATATTTTTACTTCCTATAGTTATACCTCCCTCGTTGCAAATTGGGAAGGTCTTTGTAAACATCATGGATTATACATCCCTCTTGTAAATTTCACTCATCAATGAAATTGTCTCTTATAAAAAAAAATAAAAAAAAAATAAACAAGGGGTCAAGAAACACAGGAGATATAGAAACATTGCTGCCTTGTTAGAGAGGAGAAGCCAGTAGTTACACGGGCAAGGGGAGATCAGAAGGGGGGAGGAAATTTATGGGGGTTAGCTGTATTGATTGGTTGGATGGTTTGGGTGGGTGGAGCAGAATTAAGTAATAGGGCATAAAATGATCGCCAACCACTTCTGCCCTCACTGTTTGGGATAATGAGTTTGTCCAATCTTCCATTGTTTTTTATTTTGGCGATTTCTGCAATGGTTCCCTTCCTGTTTGAAGTCTTTTCAACCCACAAGGTCAGGTCATCAACTCGAGTTTCTGTGAAGAACTTTTGGTTGAGTGGAGCAGGAAGGAGTGTGGAGAAAGTCTTGGTTATCCAAAGCACCAACGTCCAGTGAAGAGATAAAAAAAGATGTCATTTGTGATTTAGTGAGTTTTGCCCTACTTCCTCAGTATTGGTGCTCAATCTCGATTGTGTTTTTCCGTCTATTTTTCAACGGAAACCAAGTGTGGGTATTTTCTTCTGTCCATTAGTGAGGAGAGGCAGTTGGACGGAGCGGTTTGGGGACACCAGAGGTTGGGTGTTGGGGGCTGGTAGGGCAGTGTGGGGAGGATGAGAGAGAGTCACTTCAAATAAGGGAACCTAACACTTAACTAATTCAAAGTTTTCATTGATGCACATACTTAAATTTCCCCCTTTTCTGCAAACATCAAATTTACTCTCCTAAACTCAGTGCCACCATGATAATATGATACCTGCCAATGACTAAAAACCTCACAAAGTCTATCAATGGAGTGGAAGAAAGGGAGAAAGTCCCAGAGAGGCTCTCGTCAGCTTGTTCAGTGTCAGCCAATTCATCTTGATACCCCCATACATTCAGTTCCTTCAATTACCACCAATTACCTAGAATGTAGAACAATATTTAGGAAAGACCAATCAACTTTGTTGCAACTGGTAAGCCTTTACCATTTGAACTCAAAACCCCACACGTGCCTTTGCTTGCAGTCATCGACCACCCCGTTAGCCACAATAGGGAATCAATAAATTGTCTCTTTCCAATAAAAGCAGACTGGAAGGTGAAAAGAGTGAAAGGAAGCGTGAATTTCAGCATTTCAGAAAGCACCTTCATGGGGATCTTATATAAGGTAGTAGTTAAGCTAATAAGTCACATATTAATCGATCGTAGCTTATTGCATGTCAGACATATATGTCTCACTCACATTAGACTTTTGTTACCATCTTCCAATAACTTATCTCTACTCACAAAAAGCATGCTAGAAGGTGAAAATAGTTTGAGGAACTACAGATTATGGCTTTTTAGCATAGAACATTTTGAAGACCGTATACAAAGATACTAGTTAATTTAATATGTCACACACAAAATAGAGCTTCTTAAGGAACGGACATATATAAGTGCCTTCCACATTAGACTTTTGTCACCATAGTTGTTCTAGATTGAAGTTTCCATTTCATCTCAAATAAATTGAAGTTTTCCACTTAATTATAAAATGATTTTTTGTTTTTAAAAAATCAAAAACAAACTCCAAACAATCCCTTAAAGACAAACATCTAGATTGGTGGAAACTCTACCATCCCATAAGTTAAAAAGTACAGGAAACCAAAGTAGAGGGTTTGGGTTCTAGAAGAGAGGACTAAAAAACCTCATTCAAAAAGGAAAGAAGAGGAATTTATCAAGAAAAAAACTTATACTAGATCCTATCCTTTAAGTAGAAGGGAGCATAGAAGATAATTCATGAGTAGTGTCAGTGCAGTAAAGGAAATGAAAAAGTAGAATCCTAAAAAGAAAATTGAATCCAATTTTCCAAGGACAAAGAAAAATGTGAAACATTTGCTTCTTTGAAAATTGTACCTCCAAGGATGAACTGTGTGTCTTAACCAAGTAAGAAACTCACCCAAAATACTCTAAATCCGGAAGAACAACTCTCCAAGGATGTCTGTAACTAAATCCCTAAATGAGGAAAACTAATTATACCACCTAAGGACAATAGCATCGTGACCAAATGCGGTGAGCATCCCCTCCGTTCATACATCCCACCCATAGGAAGTTCCATATGAAAGATTCAGTAGTTACTGAACAGGCAATTTAAGATAGAAATCTAGAAGAAAGATGATTGAAAGTAGTGGATATGGCTAGCAACGTTAGATCTGATTTAAGTCCAACTTTTGGATGTAACAATCTATGAGAGACAGGGCGTGCATCAAGAAGAAGAACAAAGTATAAGCTAAACTGTAAGTAGATATTGAAAACCTCCACAGTAATAATGGGGTTAGAAAAAAAACCACAGAAATAATTGAAAGGGTAAGCAATCCTGCACACAAGAAGTACCTCTGCGTTTAGTCTCTGCAACATGAACGTTGCATCCGCTCTTGCATTCACAAACCGCCATTGCAAGTAACGGTTATGCTGAAGCCTCAATACGTGTGCATCAACAATGCGATCTTCCCCCATTTTCCCCCTCCGGATATCAACAGAGAAACTGAGAATGGAGGGCGTACTCATTGAGTTACTAACCAAGGAGCCACCGACACCATTTCTTGTCCTGGAAGGACTAGACATTCCCCTTGATGGCGATGATACCGAAGAAGTCCAAAGCTTACTTGGGGATGGAGGCCTTGTGCCACCTCGAATAGGGGAAGCCATTGTTCGTGGAGATGAAAGTGGACCATCACTTGAGAACCGTTTTGACTGACTGAACTTTGATGCGGTTCCCAGTCTTGCCCCAGGACTAGTCGATAAAGGAGAACCAGGATCATGCAAGCGCCGCAGCCGGCTGTTGGTCTCCTGCCAAAACCTCGCAGATACAACAATCCCTCGAGGCCCATTTCGCCCCTTGGCAGCCGAACCACAATCTTGAACTCCTGAAGTACTGCCGGAGGATACACTGTCCGTATCAGAAGTAGTGAGATCAGAGGGCACAGAAGACTCATTCACTGAATCCGCATCTGGGCTTTGCCGAACTGCCTTCAACAACTCAGAACTGCTTGAATCCAAGCTCAATCGACCGTCAAAAGAAGCTCTTCTACAGTCATCTTGCATTGCTTGATGTAACGCCCGAACCACCATCTCAGATCCCATTCCATTCACTTTCTTCTGCTCAGCGCCGCAATCTAAACTCCTCGACAACGGGTTCCCATCCAAATTCGCATGCTGGATCCTCGCCGGCCAGCGATGTTGATCAATGAGCTTCGAATTCTCCACCTGAACTCCAGACCCATCGCTCTTATCCCTAAGTGGAGTCGCCCTACGACGTTCCGGCGTCGAACCCTTTCTTGCATTGCTCATCGGCGTCGCAGTAGCCTTAGTTTTACTAATCGGAAAGGAAAACGCCTCCCCTTGAAACGAAACCGACAAACTCCTAGTCGAAGTAACCAAAAGCTTCGCAGCCGCCGAACTCTCACTCGCATTCCCGTGTCTAGAATCGATAACCGGAGTCATCGACCGGGGCGTCATTGATCGCCTCCGGTCCACCGATTGGGACCGCTTAGGTCCCAACGAAGGCAATGGAGTCGATGCAGGTGTCAAATTACTGGACCTAGAGAGCAATGGAGACGGAAATCGCCGAGAAGAAGCCGACGATGAAGTAGTTGAGGCACTAGAAGTAGAAGTCGAAGGCGAAGGAGACATATACCTTGAAGGAACCTGTCTGCCTCTAGGTTTTCGGTTGAGAATCCCATTGTCCCTCTCGGAAGGTAACAGCGGAGGCCTCGCTTGGTTTCTGATATGATCTTGCTGCTGCTCACTCCGTTGAGCCGAGGTTTTAGGGATTGGGGTATGGGTTGAAGCTGCTCCAGTAATGGCAGCCACCATCGATGCAACAAAGCTTCTATTCTCCTCTTCTTCTTCTTCTTCTTCACACTTGAATCCTCAAAAACAACGATCTCAGTGACGAATTCTTCCCCATTTTCAGAACAAAAGATTCAAGAAATTCCAGATAGAAGGTGGACAAAGCTTGCTAGATTCAACATTTTCCGTTAAAGCAATGAAATCACTGCTCATGGAATGGACCCTCCCTCTCTCAGAGCTCACCACCGTCTCTCCAGGGCTAGAGAGAGAGAGAGTAGGTGCCAGGCAAGATTTGAGAGCTCTGCAAATTCACTCGCAGAGAGAGGAAAAAAAAAAAAAAAGAGGAGAGAGAAAGTAGAGAGAGAAGAGAAGACTGTATTTTGTATATGAATACTGTATTTATTATCGAGTGGTCTTCTCTTCGGGTTTATGGGAGTCTTTGGAGAGACGTTATGTAATTTTATTATTTTATTATTTTTATTTATTTAAATATTTTGTTATTTATTATAATCTTTAAATTTTTATTTTTTTTAAATTTAAAAATAATGTTATGAGTCTGCCTCAGCCTTATTAAAAAATTTTAATAAGTTTTTTTTTATTTTTATAATTCGGATAATTATTTATTTTTATTATTTTTAAAAGTTGATGTTATTTTAAATTGTTTTTATCTTTTGATGTTTAAATTTTACATTTTTATAAATTTTATATTTTTAAAGAAACTTTTAGATATAAAAATAAAAATTTAAGTTTCACATCATTTGGAGAAGAAAACTAAATACACTAACAAACGGCGTTTTAAAATCGTGAGGATGACGGTTATATGCAATGGATCAAAGTGGACAATATCTACTAGCAAACGCGTTTTAAAAAGTTAAGTCCCACGTCAATTGGAAAGGGGAACGAAGTACACTAACCAACACGTTTTAAAATCGTGAGGATGACGACGATACGTTAGGGATCAAAGTAGACAATATCTACTATCGTTGGGTTTGAGTTGTTACAAATGGCACCAAAGCTAAACACCGGGTAGTGTACCAACAAGGACTTGGGTCATCTTTTATAAGGGTGCGAAAACCTCTCCTTAATAGACACGTTTTACATCGTGAGCCTGAAAACAGTCATATGTAATGGGTCAAAACAGACAATATCTACTAGTAGTGATGAGCTTGGACTGTTACAAAATCACTTCTAAAAGTGGTCTCAATTCATTAATATACTCCTCTTTTAGTCGATCATCAAATTCTTGTGCAAAATAAAAAATATTTAAATTTTAAAATACGCTTTAAAATTCATTCCTTAGAACTTATAGATGGTATAAAAATTCATAAATATATATATATATATATATATATTGAGCCCATAAATATATTATATGATATTAGAGCACATATATTAATTTCTCTTATTTTTAATTCTAAAATACATACCATTGTAATTTAAACTATGAGAATACTTTTTTTTAATATTATATATGATTATAATAAGGTTAAACTATCCAATAGTTTTATATTTATTTAGTAATAATTTTTTTAAAAATTAAATAAATTGCATTATTGGTACTTAAATTAAAAATACGACCGTATTAATTACATATAAATATAAAATATATATAAATAATTAAACCATATAAATTACAATTTCTTCCTTAATAAATGAATTTCAAACACACTTTAGTAGTTAAATATATAAAATAATAATTATTCATTCGTTTACACTTTTGAATTAATAGTATATAATTTTTTTAATATTTTATTTACACGTGGAAAATTCGTATTAGGGTTGTTAATTTTTTTTAGACCTAACCAACCCTAAAACTCAATTATTAACTAATCAATTTAACTTAATTTAATTATAAAATATCTGCGTTATTAACTAATCCAGAGATTTAGTGTAACAGTTCAAGCTATATAATGCACCTTACATATCTTACGATTCTAAAATGTATGTACTAAGAAGATGTTTGTACGTCTTACGGAGGGAAGAAGGTTTCGTTTCTCTCTCCAACAGATGTGAGATCTCATATTTAAATGGTTGAGATTTATTTTGTTTATTTATTTTTAATACTAATTAAAATTTTTGACTCAATTTTAGTATATGGTTTGAAAAATTATATTGCGGAGACTAATACATCTATAAGAGTTATTGCGTAGTAAATAAGTAAATAAATGTATATATATCACTCTTTAAGTAATATTTTTTTAATTAAGAATAATTTAAGTTGGTTCGGTTCAACCTAAATTAATTTGAGGAGTAACTATATATAACTAAATTAATATTGTTTTCGTTTATTTGAACCGAATCTAACTCAAAATAACTCAAATAGTCCGAACTAGGTTGGATTGGGTTGGTTATTTATTTGAACTAAATCTAACTCAAATAAGTTGATAACTCAACTCAAATACTACTAGCTGGGTTAGGCTGGGTTAGGCTGGGTTGGGTTGGGTTGGGTTGGGTTGGGTTAGGTTAGGTTAGTCATATTTATTTGAACCAAATTCAACCTAAACAAGTTTATAACTCAATTCAGATAGTACGAGCTAAGTTGGGTTGGGTTGGTCAGATTTATTTGAACCAAATATAATTCAAATAAGTTGATAACTCAATCGAAATAGTACGAGTTGAGTCAAATTGTTTGAGTCATCAGATTTTTCAACACTCGATATTACTGTAGTTGGGTTTGGGTTTGGGTTGGTCTGATTTATTTGAACCAAATCTAAGTCAAATGAGTTCATAACTTAACCCAAATACTACTAGTTCGGTAGAGTTGATCAGATTGTTTGAGTCACCAGATTTTTCAAACACTCGATATTACAGCAGAAGAAAACGACCTAATATACAATTTGATACGATATTAGAAATCACTATTAAACCCAATAACGTGACTCAACCAAACCGAACATGTACGAGATTCAATTAACTCAAATTAAACCTAATTTATCACAAATAACTTTACATCTCTATCTCAATCGAGATGGTTCGGGTTCTAGAATTATTTTATTGATTAGGGTTTTCAAGTCAAAACCAAATGTTTAACCCAACAAACCCTAATTTTAATTCTCCAAAATAATCATAATTATTTAAATTTTAATTGAAATATTCACAAAGTCTGTCCTCTTTTTTCTCATTATTAATAATTTTAAATGGAAAATTAAAGAGATAATGGGATATACTTAAGCACTTAATAATCATTAATTAGATTAATTAATACATTAATTAAGCTTATAAGCCTAATAAAATTCTTTTTATTTTATTTTATTAATATTGTTATTTTTTGGTATCTGATGAGATATGACACATCATTTCATTCCCTCCCAATTTCTCCCATTTTTTCTTGCTTTTGAAGCTCTCTCTCTCTCCTCTCTTTCTCTCTCATATATATATTTTTTTAAAACCCTAATTCATGTTGGACTAAACTCACGAATCTACCTCGTTTGTGTTTATGTCGATCCAACTGAGCTAATATCTCTTATCGAGAGATATCTAAGGAAGTCTCGATTGTGGCATTCTTTCTCTTTTGGTCCGTCCCATGATCGGGTGCTTGAAAACTGACTGTTTGTGATTGGTTCTAGTATGTTTTGTCGTCAAAATTTTCTTTAAATATTATTCAATGAAACGTAACATAAACGAATCAAGTCTAGGGTTATTCATATAACTTGATAACCCAACCAAACCCGAGATTTGGATTGGGTTGAATTTTTAAAAAATAAAAAAATTTGGGTCAGATTATGGGTTGACATTTGTTTTAATAAGTTAACTCGAAAATAGAGTTATAACCCAACACAACTCAACCGTACTTTTAAGATTGTTATGAAAATTAAATATACCTGATAATCGTAATTAATGTTAGCGATACATTGTGACTTGTGAATGTTTGATATTTGAATACTGTGAGATTTAAGTTATCAATGTAACATGCCCAACTCAACCTGAAGAATCGAGGGTTGTGTTTAAGTTAAGTTGGGTTGGGTTGGGTTGTAAACTCTATTCAAGTTGCTCGAGTCACCTATTGGGTTGTGTCGGGTTAAGTTGGGTTGAGTTGTAAACTCTATTTAGATTGCTCGAGTCATCCATTGGATTGTGTCGGGTTAGGTTATAATCTCTATCCAGGTTGTTCGAGTCACTCATTGGATTTTGTCGGGTTAAGTTGGGTAGGGTTGTAAACTCTACTCAGGTTGCTTGAGTTACCCATTAGGTTATGTCGGGTTAAGTTAGGTTGGATTGCAACCCTATTCAGGTTGCTGGAGTCATCCATTGGGTTGTGTCGAGTTAAGTTATAAACTTTATTCATGTTGCTCGAGTCACCCATTGAGTTGTGTCGGGTTAAGTTAAGTTGGGTTGTAAATTCTATTCAAGTTGCTCGAATCACCCATTGGATTGTGTAGGGTTAAGTTGGGTAGGGTTGTAAACTCTATTCAAGTTGCTCGAGTTACCCATTGGGTTGTGTCAGATTAAGTTGGGTTGGATTGCAACTCTATTCAGGTTGCTAGAATCGTCATCCATTGGGTTGTGTCGAGTTAGGTTATAAACTCTATTCAGGTTGCTCGAGTCACCCATTGGGTTTTGTCGGGTTAAGTTGAATTGGGTTGTAAACTTTATTCAGGTTGCTAGAATCGTCATCCATTGGGTTGTGTCGAGTTAGGTTATAAACTCTATTCAGGTTGCTCGAGTCACCCATTGGGTTTTGTCGGGTTAAGTTGAATTGGGTTGTAAACTGTATTCAGATTGCTCGAGTCACTCATTGGGATGTATCGGATTAGGTTATAAACTCTATTCAAGTTTCTCGAGTCACCCATGGATTGTATCGGGTTAAGTTGGGTTGAGTTGTAAACTCTATTCACGTTACACAAATCACCCATTCAACCAATCCAAAATTTCAGATTGATCCAAAAAATTCTCGAACCAAACCCAATCCAACCCGTATACACCTTTAACAAAATCTCAAACGAATTTATAATATAAAACGACTTAGAGAGAGAAAAAAAAACCCTAATGTGAGAAAAATGATGAGAGAGAATCATGTTAAAAAGAAAAAATAAAAATTTTCATTCTCCAATGTGACTTAAAACATACTCAAAAATAATAATAATAAATAAACAAATAAATAAAAATTGGTTCAAAAGTAATATTTTTGCACCCACTAAGTGTGATGGGTTTGTTTGTTAACAATGCTTTGAGGCATTGGTTTTGTTTGCTTATGAAGTGCTTATAACCCTAATACTCATATACCTTTCTCTCTACCATTGCTTCCATTTAACACATTCTTTTATTATATATTAATAATTATTTATGTCACGTTTCGTTTAATAATCTGTTATAAATGTTTAAAAGCTGTCTCGAGAATAGAGATCGGCTAGAATTTCATATAAAAATTGGGATCTAGAACGACTCTGGTAATAACGCTTGAAACATATATTTGGTTCTCAATTTCGTTCAAGGTTCAGTTATTTGTCGCACTGTTCCATGAACTGTGGGTACGAGTTTTTTTTTTTTTTTTTTTGGACAACTCCAACAAGAGCGAAGCCTTTCGTAGTAGAAGTTTGGTAAAACTAGTCTCTCAAACAAGCCGTTGAGTTTTAATTTTATTGGTTCAAAGAAATCCCGAGTTTGAGTCGTGATGTGACTATTTTCGGGTTTAGGGTTTATTATATTCTCGAGATGTCTAAGCAATAGGTTACACATTTTCCACACTTTCTTAGAGCTAAAGATTGAGATATTTGAAGAGAAAAGTTTGGAGAAGTAAATATAACTCTAATGTGGTTGCTTTCCATCTTGGTTGGATATGGTTCAATATTTTAAATTTATTTTTTAAAAAAAAATTATTAAATTTATGGATACTTTTAAGCCGAAGATTTAAAGTATATATTGAAACTCGAAATTTAATTTTTAGAGATAACCATTTTATGGTGTTGTTGGGTGTAATGACCCAGACCCACCGCTAGCATATATTGTCCTCTCTGAGCTTCCGCTCAAGGCTTTAAAACATGTAATGACCTAGACCTACCACTATATGGTTCTCTTTGAGCTTTCATTTTCAGACTTCCCCTCAAAGCTTTAAAACGCTCTAATAGGGGAAGGTTTCCACACCATTATAATTATAAAGAGTGTTTTGTTCTCATCCTCAACCAATGTAGAACATCACATTCGGACTCAGCCCGATAAGAAAAAGGTTCTCTATTTAGACCAGGAAAGAGGGATTGAGTGAGAAATATTTTCTCCCATCTAGATAAATGGGGCCGAAGACAGGATTATATTCCCCGACCGTCTCTATTAAGCTATATTTAACCCATTAAAATAAATAAATAAATATATATATATATATAAGTTAGATCATGTTGTTTTAAAATATTTGAAGATTTGATGGACAAAAATATAATCAAATTCAAAGTTGTTTTAATATTTATTTATAAAAAAAAATATAGAATTTTGAAAAGATTTTAAAGTTGGAGTCAGTAATGGTGAGTAAATGTTGGTGTGAGTTTGTTTATTTTATTATTTCTTTCCTAACTTTGATCAATGCATTATTCAACATTAAATTCAACTACTTATCATTATGCTCTCAATCCTCACAGCCTTTGGCAGATGAGGAATGTAACGTTCCGACTATTTCAACATTTATATCGAGTTGTTTAACGATATTGGAGCAATTTTACGTCGAGGGATCTCTTAGAATTTTTTCTTTTTCTATGAAATATGTGAGTAAGAACGAAATATGCTAAAAGGACTCATGTTGGTATAGGAGTCGAAAAGTGTGGGTCATTCTCATTACAATTGTTATCCGATCGAAATCTTTCCTAAAAAAGTGTGGTTTGGTGGTGAATAAAAGCAGAAGTTGATGGGTATGTAATGCTCGAGTAAGAGAAAGATACATAAATGGATTAAGACTGCATACAAACGAAAGTTATCTTAAGGATATAATGAAAGTTACTACTAGTAATAATAAAATACTTGTTCTTTTTTAATGGCTTAATGGAATGAGATTCAAAATTAAACGTGTTTAGCTTCAGAATCACGGTGGTGGATGACATATACCTCAACCAGATGAAGAGCTAAACTCTTAATCTCGTTTTTTAACATTTGTGAGTGTCTATGTCAACTTGTATGAACCTCGACTATTTTTACCGGACATGGGTCCGGTGGTGGTGGAGTGGGTAAAAAAAAGGGAAATGGCTGCACTTGGTGGCTGCATTACATCATTGGAAATTCTGACAACATAGACTTTAGTGCTTTATTATTATTCTTTGCTAAAAGTAGTTTGTATTGTAACATTATACTCAATACTTTTTGGAGGTTTCCACAAAAATAGATTACTATAAGGTAGGTTACTTTTATACTTGCCATTTATCGGAAGTGTTTCATATAACTCGAACACCCAAAAATCTTTTCAATTCAAACTATAAGATTAAATTGAACGTTTTCTAAAATTTAATCTAGTTGGTTAGAACCCTATTCAATCTTAAAGATTAAGAATATGTTAACATTGATAACTGATATTAGTAATGCACTCTAAATATTTGAAACCTCGAGATTTTCGTTACTAAAGTAACATGTAATGTGGATAAGTTTTTTTTTTATTATTATTTGAGTTGAAGGTATTCTATACAAATTGTTCGGAGTCACCCACCAACCCAAAATTTTGAATTGGCTCTAAAGATTTTTCAGAACGCTCATGACAAATCCTATTTCAGTGTCTGAACTAAAATCTCAAAACCTATATCCACCTCTACCTACATTATTATCTAAATTCAATGAACTTTTATAGATATCATAATTAAATCATTTAAATGTCCAAGACAAAAATAAATATTTCATCAAAGCTATGAGGAAAAGGAAAGGGGCCTGGTCTACAAAGTGTCCAAAGAACGAATATTCAAGCCTTCAAGAATGTTGACTGTCCCGGGGTCAGCCCAAGCAATTGATAAATGGTCCACAGATCACTAAAAACTATGCACAAATTACCAGTAAGAAGAACATAATTAATAAGTTCAGACCAGACCCTGTTTCAGACTGAATTTAGCATGCATTAATGCCTAATGGGGAGGACCCCATTTGAGATACCATCATAGTAGGGACACCAATCAGTAGTAGTGTGGCTAGGTCTATACCTCATACATGTTCGGTCAAAGCATTAGCTATACCTTAAGCAACATTAAATCCTAAATAGATAGTGACCATGGCTTTAATTCATTTTTTCTGAGCCCTTTCTTCCAGGTAGATGGACCCTTTTCAGCTAGATCAAACCATGATGATTAACTTGATTTCTACTTTAATACGTACATTTATAACGTGCAGACAAAATCTTATATGATATTAAATCCTAAATAGACCTAAATAGATAGTGACCATGACTTGAATTCATTTCTTCTAAGCCCTTTCTTTCAGGTAGATGGATCCTTTTACACTAGACCAAACCATGATGGTTTAACTCGATTCTACTTTAATCCGTACATATAAAAGTGATACAGTTAGAACGAAGCCTTATATGATATTAAATCCCAAATAGATAGTAACCATGACCTCAATTCATTTCTTCTAAGTCCTTCAAGGTAGATGGACCCTTTTCCACTAGACCAAGCCATGGTGGTTAACTCGATTTCTACTCTAGTCCCCACATTTTATAAAGCAATACCATTAGGGGGGGAAAAAGAAGTAAAGAGAGGTAAACAAGAATACTCTGCCAAATGAAACACACTAACTTAATCTTCAAAATTAGTAAACATTGTAGTAGCCTAAGTTCAACAATCAGCACGAGGTTCAAGGAAATAATGAACTAGGGACAGAAAAGAAGTTCAAGGTTCTTTCTCATATATAAGCAAATCCAGCAACCATATTCTATCCATTAAACATTCTCTAATGGGAGAGGCAGGAGAGGCAAAATTTCGCCATTTAGCGGTACTGCAAGAAGAGTTGAGGGGTTCAACAGGGTCAGAAGACATTGAAAAAGTCTTGATATGAATTTAGTTCAAAATAAACAAGAATGTAAAATTTTTACCTTAATGAATCCAATTTCCTTAGCGTTGCTGCGGAAGCACTGTCTGCAGCACATAAGGCCGTACTTTCTGATCAACCCATGAGGATTTCCGCACACCCGGCTGAAAGACAAGACAAATAGAGGCCACATTTTAATTCAAACAAAAGATACCTTCATATCATTGTTCTGAATAAATGTAAACCCAATCAAATGTATCTATGTATCCAAAATTTATAATTCTCGATCATGGAAACATATGCAGCATCTTATCAATCCTTCCAGTCATTGTTACCGATTAGTTCGTATCATTGTTCTGAATAAATTTTAACCCAACATTAAATGTTAACCCTTTTCTTCATATCATTGTTATGAATAAATGTTAACCCAACCAAATGTATCTATGTATCCAAAATTTATAAATCTCAATCATGGAAACCTATGGAGCATCTTATATATCCTTTCATTCATCCCATTATCCAACTGTACTTACCGTCTAGTTCACCCAACAGTCACAGACAGCTTAAGTGAGCAAATACTAAGAACTCCTTACGGTTTCATCAACATTATAACAATGACCCAGAATAATCTACACATAAAATGATTTGACCGTGGACATAACCAGAATCGAGACAAGTTCTCATGCCTAATCAATTTAAACAGACAGTACAAATAAATAGAAGAACATTTGGGAACTATTCTACAATAACTTCACTTAATTGCCCACCATAGCACAAATACTTTTCAGCACGAACGTATAGCGATAAAGCAGTCCTTGTGCTTGTTTCCAAATATCACAACTTAGAACTGTGTCAAACTCAAAAGTAAAAACCAATCACATAATTCATCTTTCAAGTCAAAATACCCCATCAGATTAACTAAACACCCAAATTCCACTTTTTAATCCAAATAATTAACCACGTTCTTCGAGTAAAAGAAGAAATCGGATGCAGCAGATAAGAAAAAATCAACTAAATCAAAACGGAATGATCTCAAAAGAGAAACAGAGAAAAAGAAAACAAGTTACCAGGTGCGAGAACCGGGACCATAGCTCTTAGGGTGCGAGTTCCAGACGTTCGAGTGCCCCATGATTGGATCGCCTACGAGACGGAAATCTGTTGAGCTCGTTAGGGCTTCAAAAATTCCAAGTAGCGGCAAAATCCTTCTGACGAACGATCCTTAGTAGGAAAAGTAACTATTTATAGCGGCGATCAGAGACGAAACCCTAGCGTGTACCGAAAATAATTTAATATAATTTCCATATTTTAAAATAATTTTGATCCAATTAAAACATAATTATATTTATAAACTTGTTTTATGTTTAAAATTTTGTATAATTATTATTTTGTAATTTCATATAATACATAATTTATTATGCAATGCATATTTGTATTTATAAAAATGAATTAATCTATAATATTAAATACTATATTTATTAATATTTCAAAATTATAAATTTAGTCTCCATATTTTTTTAAAAAAATTAAATTTATTATAAACTACACGTAATATCTCATAAATTAATTCTTTTTTTAATTAAATTTTAATTGATTTATTAACTTAAAAGCAGAAATTAATTAATAGTTGTTTATATTTGACCTAATAGTTGGCCGTCAGTTGCAAATAGTTTTAAAATTATTTTTATTGTTATTTTTTATTCTAAAAATTTATATAATTAAAAATTAATTAATCTAATTTTTTATCCGTGGATTAGAAATTACGGATCTTCACAATTGTATGATATTATCCATTTTGAAGCACAAACTCTGTGACATTTCCAAAAAAATCTCGTTAATATTCCTCATGATCTTGACTGAATTAAACACTCACTCACAGTTATCCTCAACCATTAGGGATTTTCGGGAAGAAGATGAAGAAGTCAACGATCTTAATGAACAAATTAGAAAATCCCAGAGATTCTTCTTTATTTCTCTCTCCTTTGTCCTCTTCTGAGTAATTCATTCAACCCATTCCCATTGGCCAAGAACAGCACAGATTTAGGTTCGTTTCCCTGGAATTTCCAGCGGATCTCGATCATATTCCCAATTCCGTTTGATTTTTGCGGTGTTTCTTCATCTCTGAGAACAGCCCTGTCCTGTCCATGGGCGACGAGAGGGCTAAAATTGCTCCAAAACTAACCATTCTTCCTCTCATCGCTTTGATTTTCTACGACGTTTCAGGAGGACCCTTTGGAGTGGAGGATTCGGTGAGCACTGGCGGTGGTCCGCTTCTAGCTTTGCTAGGTTTCTTAGTGTTTCCCTTTATTTGGAGTATTCCGGAGGCGTTGGTCACGGCGGAGCTCGCCACAAGTTTCCCCCAAAACGGGGGATATGTGGTCTGGATTTCGGCAGCTTTTGGCCCTTTTTGGGGGTTTCAAGAGGGCTTCTGGAAATGGTTCAGTGGGGTAATGGATAATGCTCTGTATCCTGTACTGTTTCTTGATTACCTGAAGCGTTCGTTTCCTGTTTTTAGCCATATATTTGCTCGAATTCCTGCTCTGTTAGGAATCACTGCCTCTTTAACTTACTTGAACTATCGTGGTCTGCATATTGTTGGGTTTTCTGCTGTTGTTCTTGCTGTGTTTTCGCTCTGTCCTTTTGTGGTGATGACCATTCTTTCAATTCCCAGAATAAGGCCTAGGAAGTGGCTAGTTGTAGATTATAGCATGGTGAATTGGAGGGGTTATTTCAATAGTATGTTTTGGAATCTGAACTATTGGGATAAGGCAAGTACTTTAGCTGGGGAAGTTGAGAATCCTAGCAAGACTTTCCCCAAGGCTATGTTTGGAGCTGTGGTTTTGGTGGTTTGTTCTTATTTGGTTCCTCTTTTGGCTGGGACTGGTGCTTTGGAGACAGATTCAAGTGACTGGAGTGATGGGTATTTTGCTGAGGTTGGGGCGTTGATTGGTGGGGCGTGGCTCAAGTGGTGGATTCAAGCGGCTGCTGCTATGTCTAACATGGGGTTGTTTGAGGCTGAAATGAGTAGTGATGCATATCAACTGCTTGGGATGAGTGAGATGGGCATGATTCCTTCTGTGTTTGCTTCAAGGTTGGTGGTTCTGTTTAGTTTCCTTCTCATTGTTCTGTATTGTTAGCAACTTGAGTAGCAATAGTCTTGCTTGATGTACCCACAAATGAGATTTGTAGCTCGAATTGGTAGTAGCGAGTCATGATAGCAATCCTTTGAGGGTGGGAGGTCGAAGGTTTATATCATCATGGACGTAAAACCATAGGTAGCTCAAATGGGTCGGGATAATCATATGCGTTTTAGTATTAAGTTGACATTGACATAACTTGTAATAGTTCAAGCCCACGGCTAGTAGATATTGTCCTTTTTGGGTTTTCCCTTTCGGACATCCTCTCAAGGTTTTTAAAACGTGTTTATTAGGGAGAGGTTTCCACACCCTTGAACAGAATGCTTCGTTCTCCTTTCCAACTGATGTGGGATCTCACCTGATGTACCCACAAATGAGATTTGTAGCTCGAATCAGTGGTAGTGAGTCATAATAGCAATCCTTTGAGGGGGGAGGTCGAAGGTTTATATCACCATGGACGTAAAACCATGGGTAGCTCAAATGGGTCGGGATAACAATATGCATTTTATCAGTAAGTTGACATTGACATAACTTGTAACAGTCCAAGCCCACCGCTAGTAGATATGTCCTCTTTGGGTTTCACTTTCGAGCTTTCCCTCATTGTTTTTAAAACGCGTCGGCTAGAGAGAGGTTTCCACACCCTTATAAAAAATGTTTCGTTCTCTTCTCCAACCGATGTGGGATCTCACAATCCACCCCCTTCAAGGCCTAGCGTCCTCGCTGACACTCGTTTTACTATGGGATCTCCAAAACTCATCACCATATAAAGGATAACAGAACCAGGAAGATTGCAAAAGATTGATAGTCTAGAAGTATCCTAGAACCCCTAAGACTATAAGACTCCTAGGAGTTCTTTAAACTTCCAAGATGAGTTTAGGTAGCTCAAAACTTTATATGCCAAACATTTCCAAAACTTCTTTTCTCCTATCTTCATACCCAAACCCAAGTGAACTTCCTCCTTAAACTCTTCCAATGTTTTGATCCATTTGATTTACAGGCACATTGTGGATGCAACAGCTGATCTTATTGAACTACTGTCTCTCATTCACTTTGCAGATCAAAATATGGGACACCCACCTTCAGCATTCTGTGCTCTGCCATTGGGGTTATCTTCCTCTCATGGATGAGTTTCCAAGAAATACTCGAGTTTCTCAACTTCCTATACTCCATAGGAATGCTTTTGGAGCTTGCTGCCTTTATAAAATTAAGAATAAAGAAGCCAGACCTCCACAGACCTTACAAAGTTCCCTTGCAAACATTTGGTGCCATAATGCTTTGCTTGCCACCTGCAGCCTTGCTTGTTCTTGTCATGTGTTTAGCTTCTGCACAAACATTCTTAATCAGTGGGATTATAATTTCTGTAGGGTTTCTTCTATACCCTTCTCTTTCACAAGCAAAGAACAGAGGATGGGTCAAATTTATTTCAGAACAGCAAGGAGATACTCTTCCTGATGTGGAAGATTGCCTGGTCGAGCCGCAACCACGGCAAGAAGTTCTCGATGAGGCAGTGATTCGGCTTCTTTCAGAATCTCCTTCGTCTCCAAATATAGCCAACCAATAACATCCACAGATTCCCCAACTTGGACACAGTTGAAACCCATGCAGACCATGCAGTTTCGAAGATCGGGTGCTTGATTGATGAATATCAAAGTGTTGCATAGAATACATTGTTATGTAAACATATTTATGTACAAATTGTGTTCATATTCTCTTGAAAGGTTTATACTAGTGCTGATATGTTGTCTGTGGATGCAACACAAAGGGGTTAGTTTTGACTGCAGTGTGTATTAAGAAGGCTGCTAGACTTTTGAACTTGAAAGCTTGAAGTTGAACTACTACTGATATGGAACAATCTTCATCCCAACAAATGGGAAAACAGAACTAACAAAGTTGGACGACTATAGGATATAATTGATTCTCGTTAGTTCTCGTTGAGAAGCTCATACATTCTTATCTTCCTATATGATCAGAGGCAATAATTTTGACATGAACCTTATACTTTCCAAGCCATGCTGTTTGATTCTAAGGATCGACGAGCTCGAGCTCAGTTCAGCATCCAAAGTCATATGGTACAAGTCCTTGCAACTCGGGGCCACTCAGCCTGTTGTTTTCGTAACTGCGGCAAAGAAGAGAACATGTACATACTACAGTTAATCAATCAAGAATATGTTATCACAGAGAAGGTCATAGAAACATGTCATTCAATTGGACGTGTACTCTAGGATTCCGGGTTAGATTCATCGTTGTGACAAGCAAGAAAAAAGAGTGGCCATAAATTACCAAGAACTAGAAATTCAACCAGGCGGTCAAGAACAACGGTGACATATGTAATATGGATATTATTAGGGGGCAAGAACCTCTACATATCTCTACAATTGTATGATATTGTCTACTTTGGAAATAAGTTTCATACCAATAGAGATACTGTCCTTCACTTATATGCTTGTGATCAATAATGTAGAACTTTAGTTGCATTCCTAACAATCCTCCTCTTGAGGCAAAGACCACCGAGTCTCCCCTCGAAGAGTCATCTATCCATCTAACTTTTATTCAAGTTAACTCCAAGATCTTTACTAAAGCATATTGCTCAACTACATATCACACCTTGAATACATCTTTTGAGACTTGTCATTTTTTTGTTCAATGCTCGAAGATTTTACTGACATAGCTAAGTAGGGAGTAGGCTCCAATATCACTTTTTAAGGACAACAAGTTTCTACGTACTAAAACAAACATATGATATTGTCCACTTGTTTCTAAAAAACCTCATACCACATTGTCTTTCACTTATATATTAACGTTCTTCCCTAATCTAAGGATGTGAGATTCTGGTCACATTCTCAACAACTACTTTAACCAGGGTAACGAGACAGGTCAAGACATTTCAAATACTTCAACAATCCATCACTTGTAGGACACGTAGCAGATACTCAGTATCACAATAGACATGAGTAAGGTACTAGTTATAAGTACTCTAACATACATCAAAACTTCAAGAATAACATACATCAAAACTTGTTTTATAAGTACATAAACATAAATCTTAGTAACTTTAAATATAAACAAATCTAGATATGCATATGATATATAAATATAAACATCAGTTATCTTAGTTATGAAGTAATTTTATTCATGAAATATGTTCAGAGAAAATCAGAGAAGAACAAAAATCAAAAGAGAGCTTGTCACCTTTCCATCGAGAAATCAGCAAATGGTCCATCAACAGGGATTGTTCCACAGAGATCATTGTTTGAGACATCACTGCAGGAAAAGTTAAAAGACAACCTTAGTTTTCCATAAAATGTAGAGAGAGAACAAGACTAGAGAACGAAGCAATTGTTTCTAAATCAAACGTACAAAATTTTGAGTTTAGAGAGTGATGAAAGTTCCCTTGGAATCATGCCTGTTAACTTGTTGTTGTTCATCCGTCTGTTTATGCAAATTGGACCCAATTAGATTACATAGTGAGAAAAATGATGTAATAGTCCAACCCCACCGCTAGTAGATATTGTTCGTTTTGGCTCGTTAAGCATCGCCGTCAGCCTCACGGCTTTAAAATGCATCTACTATGGAGAGGTTTCCACACCTTTATAAGGAATGCTTCGTTTCCCTCTCCAATTGACGTGGGATCTCACAAATGAACAAAACACTTCATTCATAATTAAGAAGGATATGCTTACAGAAATCTAAGTGACTTGAGTTTGGCCAAAGATTTTGGAATCTTTCCTTCAAATTTGTTCTCGTACAAATCCATGCTTACGAGGTTTCTCAAATTACCTATCTCAGTGGGGATTTTTCCACTTATCCCATTCCTGTAGAGCTCCCTGGAAGGCATTGAAAAGCAAGACATGTTCTTTTAGCCATAGAATTTCTAACTTATGAAGGACACCATTCCTTATACTCTTCATAGAACCCAAATATTATACTCTTCTGTTAGTTTCCGCCAGTTTTACATGCATCTCGAATGATTACAGACACGATAACATGTCAGCTCACAGGAAAATTTATAGGATATCAAACATGGCAAAGCTCAAATACATGAAAAACTATACATATATACAAATTGATGAAGATGTAGGGCAATACAGATATTGAAGATGCTGGAGGTCACCAATTTCAGGCCCCAAAGTCCCGGAAATGTTCGAGTTTCCCAAATCCCTGAAAACATAGAGAAAAGCGGCTCAATTTCAACTATGTTCCATGTTGCAGGCAATCGAAGAAACCCATATAGGAAGAATCTCACAAGCGTATCACATGGTTTTCAGAATCACAGGTTACATGAAACCAAGTGCAAGGATTAACCAGCGTAGGGTCCCAACTCTGCAGCACATTAGTGGGATCAGACAGCCTTCTCCTAAGAGCATGTAGAGCATTTCCTGAAACCACAAGATCAACCAAACCATGAACAAGAAACTCAAAAACCAACCCCAGAAGTCAAAAGTAAACTAAAAAAAAAAAGTTCAAAGAGGCAAAACATCAAACAGTTCATGGGCATTCATTTCGATTCAAAGTTTACCTTCAGAATTAGTGGAAATTACAGGCAACCCAAGAAGTCAAAAAAAAGTTCAGAGGCAAAACATCAAACAGTTCATGGGCATCCAATTGGATTCAAAGCTTACCTTCAGAATTAGTGGAAATTACAGGAAATCCAAGAAGCCAAAAGTAATTTAAAAAAAAAAAAAAAAAAGTTCAAAGAGGCAGAACATCAAACAGTTCATAGGCATTCAATTGGATTCAAAGTTTACCTTCAGAATTAGTGGAAATTACAGGCGAAAAAGAGAGACCCAGAAGGAGAAAGCAGAGGATGATAAGATCAGAAGCCATATTGCAAGAGAAGAAATCGAAAACAGAGAGATTGAAGAAAACCCAAAAGAAATAGTGGTAAAAACGATGAAAAAAGATGCAAAAAAAGACTAGACAATGGGATCGATGAGGAATCTGACTTAGAGTGATCGATCAGTCAAGTCAATGGAAAAGAAAAGAGGGGAAAATAGAGAAACCAACCATAAAGAAACTCTTTAATAGCAGAACAACTTACAGAACAGCAACAGGGAAGAAAGAGAAGAGGGAAGACATTGTTTTAAACAGTGAGTGTGGAAATGGGTGCTTTGCTTTGATTGGTGGGTTGTTGAGAGACAGCACCGTCGCGTGAATGGTGGTGGTGGGGCGGCGGTGAGGGCCCACCACCGTCTACGTAACTAACAGGCTTCTTCTTCCCAGGGCGTTGATTTGGGGAATTGTGGATTTAGAACACAAGGAAGAAGATGGGTTGTGACAGTTAAAAAGTTATGGGTCTGAAATGGGCCCCAAGGTGTCCTTTGACTGGTTATGTCCTGATTTGTCCCTCTTTTGTACCTAATCTTTTGATTCTCGAGTACGATTCTTCTCGATCTCTAATGAATTATGAGTATTTATATTGTTGGATGATGAAAGTCCCACATCGGTTAATTTAGGGAATGGTCATGAGTCTCTTCATTGGTATGAGGTCTTTTGGGAAGCCCAAAGCAAAGTCATGAGAGCTTATGCTCAAAGTGGACAATATCATACTATTGTGGAAAGTCGTGTTCGTCTAACATATATAACTTGATAAATTCAATAATATTTGATCGAGTTGAATTATTATTATTGTTTTTGTTTGAGTTTGGTTGGATTCTTGAAAATTCGAAAATTAGGTTTAGTTCACAATTTTGACTTTTTTTTATCGAGTACCATTGTGGAGAGTCGATAGAGCTTACAACTCAATTCTAACCCACTTTTAAAACCGTAAAAAAGATTCTGCTCCTGTATAAGGGGCAAGGTATTGTAATGTAGCCGGAGAATCCGCCATTTCGGCTACTATAATAATGTATTCCATTGCCCCCCTTTCGTGTAAAGTAGTAACTACTTAAGCCACATAAGAGGCTTTTTTACCAATAGCTACCTAAACACATATTACATTTTGCCCTTGTTGATTCAGAATCATCGGTGGCTACTGTAGTTTTACCCGTCTGTCTATCCCTAATAATTAATTATCGCTGACCACGTCCGATAGGAATCATCACATCAATAGCAATAAGTCCTGTTTGAAGAGGCTCATATACGAAACGTCTCGAAATAATACCAGGAGTGGGAGATTCAATTAACCGAGAGTCAGAAGCTGAAATTTCACCTCGACCATCAATAAGTTTAGCCAAGGCGTTTATAACACGACCTAAATAATCTATGAAATACGTATTTGCATAAAATTGAGTAATATGTATATACACACATACACGTACATCAATTTTTTATGTATATGTATGTGTGTGTGTGTATATATATACACCAAAAAAGGAAGAATGACAAAACCTGAGTTGAATGAGTAGGTGTACATTAAACCCGACCACTCGAACTGACCCAATTTAAAATATAAAGGTTAAGTTAGGTTGGATTAGCATTTTAAGTTGGGTTGGTTTAATTTTTCTGAAACTCGAATAGATTCAGTTCAAGTTTCAAGTTCATTAGGCAAAACTTCAGGTTGAACCGAACCGAATAAAAATTTATAATATACATTAACATGTTATAAGTATTAGTAGATCTGGCTCGGTTGGGTTGGGTTGGGTTACGCATTCAACCAACCCGAACTTCTGTCTAAAAAATTTTCTCAACCCAACTCATATACACCCATAATACAAAGGCGTCCACCGATGATGACATTAAATCAAAGCTTTCGAGCCACACGTTGCAAGAACGCATTCCATTCCCTTTTTAAAAATTTTATTCCCAAAAAAGAAACAAACCTTTAAATTTTCACTGTTCTTGTTAATGGGTTTAGGTTTGATTTTGAAAAATAAACTTGTTTTGGCTGGATTTGGGCAAAAGATTGTTATTCACATGAACAATCCCTTATAAATTGGATTTTCCCGGAAAGAAAATTCAAGCTGTTTGGGTTTGGATTTTCCCGGAAAATTGCCTCATTTTCTCCCTCATAAGCATGGCAAGAACTTGCATGGCTATGCAGGCAAAAGCATTGTTTCTTAGGTAAATTAATGTTCCCTTTTGACGTTTTTTGTGTTCAAATAGTTCAACGACCTGCAGAGCCGATAGATTCAAACTTTTAACCCTTTAATCGATAATATACGAAGATATATTCTCGTTGGCTTGTGTGTCGTGTTTGAGTTTAAACTATAATTTAGTGTTTTTTTTACTGGCTTACGAAAAAGTCCATAAGAGGTTTTTTGATTCCGTGAATTGGAGTCGGGAACTGGTAGTATGGTGTTAGACACGGAAATAGTGTATTCCGAGACATAATTTATTCTCATGAATAAAGATATTCATGAAATAAAATGTAACCGTCCAAGCCCCCGCTAACAGGTATTGTCGTATTTATGGAATTAGACATGAAAATAGTGTCTGCACAACATTCTCGTACAACATGACTATGTTTTTATTTGTCTTGAACAACTTATAGAAGTGAAGAGTGTTTGCACGAGCTAACGTGTTCTTTTATGATGTTTTGTTTTCACTCACATGTCTAAAATTTTGAGGTTACTCGATACATAATTTTTCTAAGCTTTAACACGGTTAATTTTATAATGCACAGTAATTTTAAATTATTTAAGTATTTCTTAATCATTATATTCTCGTGATTACTTTCATCCTGATGTAGTCTTGATTTATTCACACACTTTCTCTTTTACTCGAGCGTTACCGATAATGACCTAAATTTCATAAATTTTAAACATTCATTTTATCTAGGTGAATGAATTAATAGTATATTATATATGCATAAATCTAGAATGGTCGAGATATTGGTCACATGGCCTGCACCGAGTTGGTGGCTTACTGGGCTTTTTTCAAGATCATCATTCGCCTTCTTGTTATCCAAAAGTTGGTTGAATTGGGCAGGTCACCTCCCGAAACGTCGAATGAAATAGGTAGTCGGGTTCTCTTTCGACAACCCTTTTGATATGATAGGCCCGGTGGTCTCAATTCAGTGGGATCTTTAATTTATATTTTTTAAGTCAATTCAATCTCGTTTTAAGTCAAACTCGGATTAACGTGACTCCACCTCAGATTAACATGACTCCGACCCTTTATGGTGAATTTGAAAGTTTTTGAAGGGCTAATTAGTTGCATGGCAGGAAAGTGAGGCGCCAATTGAGCAGCCTTGTAATGGCGTCCACAGGCCAACGAGCCACACATCAAAGAGAAGATGAGGCAGAGACCGAGCCACCGGCCTATAACTCACACACTTGGGTGCCTCATCCTCGCACTAGAATTTACTACCCTCGGGGCCATGAGTGGGTCATGAAGGACATCCCTACAAATGCAGCTTCCTTCTCTCGACCCTACTGGTTCCGGGATTCCGATGGCGTCGATGACCTGAACCCCGACATCGACACCCACACCGACACTGTTTTCGGCGGCCGGGATTGACCCAGAAGGCTAGCTGCCAATGGAACAATGAACAATGTGTTAAAAGAACTTGAGTTTGGAGTTTGGAGTTAAAGTAAGGTTGTGCAATGACCAAATTGGCCTTCTAATAATGTAAAGTTTAATAGATGTATTTATGGGTAAATTGTAAATTAGCGTAATAAAGCGAATGAAATACTAATATAACAATCTATTCCCTCGTTGAATTCCACTCTACGCTCGTGTTTTTTTGGTTCAGTTTGTATTTTAGAAAAATATCAATGCGAATCTTTAGAAAGGCTTCTCGAGAGATTGAGAGATGCCTCTTCAGTTTTCACCGACACCGACAAGCATGTTAGTTGCTATTAGCACGTGCTTGAAATGCTATCCTAAAAATGTCTTTAACCTACCATCAAAATTGATTTTGAATTATTAAAAATATGTTTATAAGATTTTGAAGGTTTTAACTATTTCAAAATCATTAATCAAATGTGATCATTTTAATTCTTAGTCTTAAATATTTTTAATTATTTTTTTATTTTTTTATATCGATTTTATAATAACTCAAGTTCACTGCTTGCAAATATTCTCCGTTTTTACCAGTTTTGTATTGTCGTTAGCCTCACGGTATCATAGCCAGATACTGAGTCTTGAGCCGGACGTTGGGCCCGAAGGGGATGATGTGGATTGTGAGATTCCACAAGAGTATAAAAACTTCTCCCTAGTAGACGTGTTTTAAAACCTTGAGCGGAAGTCAGAAAGGAAAAACTTATATTTGCTAACGGTAGGCTTTGGGCTATTACAATTTTTTTTTTTTTTCGTCTCGTAATATTTTTAAGTTGATACTCAACACGGGATATGTTATTATGATTTTTCTTTTATGGTCGAGATATATTCTTTTATCGGTTAAGCATATTAAAATTAGGATAAATACAAAAGGAAAAAATGGATAAGACCAAATTAATTATTTATGTGAATTTTAGGAACTCAATCAAACATTTGAAACTTTTGTTGAAAATGGAAAATAAGATTTGAAATACTTTTGTTTAGTCTTAATATTATTATTTAATGATTATTTTGTTTTAAGGTTATAAAAATATCATATTAACATGCAAGTTTTTTGCATGCCATTCTTTATATTAATTTTTATATTATATATATATATATATATATATATCACGTAATTCAATAATAATTTATTGTAATTCTTTGTCTGAGGTTCGTCGTGACCCCGTTCAAATCCATCGTCACGATTAATTTCACCTTTAATTGATAGGTTCGTTGAATTTCGGTCATCAAACGTTCAAACAAAACTCAGCATTGATCATTTTGCTTCACCACTTAAACGTAAAGATAATACTTGTTTGATTTCGGCTTTGAGGAAATCATATAACAAACTTGTGGTCAACAGTTGACTTTTAATAGCAAACGGTCTAAAACACGAAATGTATGTCATTTTAACAGCTAACGTATGCATCATTAAGAGGTCTGATGTGTTATAATAAAATCAGTTAATCATCTTCCTTTGGTCAAAGAGGGACGATATAAACGACGAAGAGATTTAAAGTCCAGCCAAGTTAAGCATTCATAATTACTGGTACATATGTGTTTACATACCCGAGAGTTATTAGCTAAGATTGTCGATACTCGAGGCAGATGACGAAGATATTTGTTAGTTGGGTTACCGTTTTCAGTGATTTTCTCTTTTTTAAAAATATAATTCTCTAACAAAATTTATTTATGGAGGTTATAATTAAAATATAAATTTAAATTTGAAAATGAAATTTTATAATATTTATATATGGAAAGAGCAAAAGGAGGGTGGAAAAGTCAATAAATGATATTAAAAAGAGGACGAAGGGAAAAGGAAAGAAAATAAAGGGAAAAAAATGGACAGTTTATTTAGGCTTTAAGAGTATGAAAATGGTTGCCGTTTCAGCGATGCTCTTCGTCTTTTCCCACTTTCCCTCTCCTCTTTAACTTCACTCCGCCTCTTCTTCTTCTTCTCTCTCTCTCTCTAAGGATTTTTCCCTCTGCGTTCGATTTTCCGGTCGTAAACGGAGTTTGATTGTGTTTTTGATCGGAATCTCATGATGTTGAGGTCGTGCTGCAGGCCGCTCGAGCGGTTTATTGGACGGTGGGCCGGCGATGGGCTGCTGTGGCAGTCGGAATTGAAGGCTCATGCTTCTGGTGATTATTCGATCGCTGTTGTGCAGGCTAATTCCTGTCTTGAGGATCAGAGTCAGGTGTTCACGTCCTCCTCTGCTACGTATGTTGGTGTTTATGATGGCCATGGCGGCCCTGAGGCTTCTCGCTTTGTGAATAAGCATCTTTTTCCTTATATGCATAGTGAGACTCTGTTTAAACCTCTTTTTGTGTATTTCGTTTGTCTCGCTTTTTTTTTTTTTTTTTTTTTTGGTACTTGATTTGATTTTGTTTGTGTGAGATTCCACGTTATTGGAGAGGCGAACGAAACATTTTCTATACGAATGTGGAAACCTCTCCCTAATAGATGCGTTTTCAAACCGTGAGGCTGATGACGATACGTAACTGGCCGAAACAATCAATATTAGAGTTAGACATGAGTTTGGACTGTTATGAATGGTACTGAAGCTAGATATCGGGCGGTGTGCCAGCGAGAACGCTGGCCCCAAAAGGTGGATTGTGAGGTCTCACATCAGTTGGAGAAAAAAACGAATCATTTCTTATAAGAGTGTGAAAATCTCTCCATAATAGATGCATGGAGTGAATTGTGAGGTTTCACATCAGTTGGAGAGAGGAACAAGTATTCCTTGTAAAAGTGTAGAAACTTCTCTCTTGTAGACACGTTTTAAAAATCTTGAAGGGAAGCTTGAGTGTAAAAGTCCAAAGAGGACAATATCTGCTAACGGTGAGCTTAAGCTGTAAGATGCTTTTGATAGATTTTAGGCTCTTTTTTCCGGTTCTGAAAGTGTGAGAAGGAGAAGAGGGGATAAAGAGAGACACTGGGAATTGTTCATTTGAATTTACCTTTCAAGTTTTTGTTGCAGAGTTTGCTTCAGAACAAGGTGGGCTATCGGAGGATGTTATTAAGAAGGCATTCAATGCCACAGAAGAGGAGTTTCTGCGTTTGGTTAAGCGGGCTTTGCCTGCAAAGCCACAGATTGCTTCAGTTGGATCGTGCTGTCTTGTAGGTGCAATTTCAAATACGAAGCTATACGTAGCGAATCTCGGAGATTCGAGAGCTGTGCTTGGCCGTAAAGTTTCGGGGAGTAAGAGAACACCGGTAGTTGCAGAACGGTTGTCGACTGATCACAATGTTGGAGTAGATGAAGTTAGGAAAGAGGTTGTAGCACTTCATCCTGATGATTCCCATGTAGTTGTCTATACCCGTGGTGTTTGGAGGATCAAAGGCATAATTCAGGTAACTTTTGCATTCTTAAAGCTTAATAGTTCCTGGATTTTGATAGAACAAATCTGGGTGCTTTCTTGCTGTTAATGAATTTGCCCTCTGGTTAATCAAAATCTTCTTGAGTTTCATGAGATCCCACATTGGTTGGTTGAGGAGAAGAACGAAACATTTTTTATAAGAATGTGGAAACCGCTCCTTAGTAGCCACGTTTTAAAAATCTTTAAAAAAATTGAGGGAAGGCCTAAAGAGAACAATATTTGTTACCGGTGAGCTTGGGCCATTTCAAATGGTATCAAAGCCAGACACCAGCAGATGTGCCAACGAAGAGGCTAAGACCCGAAGGGGGGTGGACACAAGGTGGTATGCCAGCAGGGATGCTAGGCCTCGAAGGGGATGGATCGAAGGGTCCCACATTGATTGGAGAAGGGAATGAGTGTTAGCAAGAACACTGAGGCCTAAAGGGAGTGAATTGTGAGATCCCATATTGGTTGGAGAAGGAGAACGAAACATGTTTTATAAGGTTGTGGAAACCACTCTCTAGTAGATGCGTTTTAAAAACCTTGAGGAACTCTAAAAAGAGAAGTCCAAGAAGGATAATATTTGCTAATGGTGGACTGGGGCGATTACAAGTTCTCTATGAAACTGTGAATTGTGACTTTGTAACGAGAACACTCCTTTACGTTGGAAAAAGAAATTTGTCTTAACTTTCTTCTTATCCAGGTTTCAAGATCTATAGGTGACGTCTATCTAAAGAAACCCGAATTCAACCGGGATCCAATATTCCAACAATTCGGGAACCCCGTTCCATTAAAGCGAGCAGTAATGACTGCAGAACCTTCAATCCTAACTCGAGAGCTTAAACCTCAAGACCTATTCCTGATCTTTGCATCAGATGGCCTCTGGGAACAACTTACTGATGAGGCTGCTGTGGAGATAGTTTCCAAGAACCCAAGAGCGGTAAGTTACTGAGAACTCCCATTTATGTCATTTACAAAGGATAAACTCCAAACAGATTCTAACATTTCTTTGACTCCTTCAGGGAATTGCAAAGAGATTAGTTCGTGCTGCCCTCCACGAGGCAGCAAGGAAACGGGAGATGAGATACACCGACTTAAAGAAGATCGAAAAGGGGATTCGGCGTCATTTCCACGACGACATCACTGTCATTGTCGTTTATCTCGACCACAACATAAGCTCACATGCCCGTGGAGCTAAGAACGCTATTGCCGGGTACACCACTGCACCTGTTGATATTTTCTCTCATAACTCAAACTACGAGGCAGAGGAAAAAGTTCACACAAAGATCTAAAGAATTGATTTTGAAAGGCAAAATTATAGAGATACACAGAAACAGAAAACTTGTTAGGTAGAGAATGGGACAGGGTGGTTCATCAGTAAAAGAAACAGAGTTGATTAAATGTATAGATAATTTTTTAAGTCACTAATTGCTGCTAATGGGAATCAGCTGGCTTTGATTACTTTTTTCTTGGTTTCTGATTGGATCTTTTTTTTCCCCATTGACTTGTAAGAGGTTTATGAAATTCAATAATGGCTGGCACTTTTCCCCCTTTTACATTATATCTATAGTTTTACATGCTTTCTTGGAAATTTTGAGTACTCCTAGGTGGGCATCGACATGCAACGATATCAATTGCGAGTCACGATGCTGATATCAACGATATCAATCGCAAGTCACGACGCTGATACCAACGATATCGCGAGTCACGACACTGATACCAACAATATCAATCACAAGTCACGACGCTGATACCAATAATATCGCGAGTCACGATGCTGATACCAATGATATCGCGAGTCACAACGCTGATATCACACAATATTGATATCAATGATATTGCGAGCCACGATGCTGGTATCGGTTTGAAGAACTAAAAACCAAAATCAAAATCTTCTTTGAAGAACTAAAAACTTTGAAGACAATTGAAGTCATCTAGAACATAAGACTTCAAAATTTTGATCGATTCTCCAAAAAGATTAAATAAGTAAGAGTCGATCAGAAGATCAACAATCTGGGTGCTAGTTATTCAAAACGATCCGGTCGAATGTTGTTCCTAAGAACTTAACAAGCTAGGATAGACAAGCTACTCAATTCATCATACACTCTCAAGCCAACTTAACAAGCTTTTCCTTTTGGACTTCCTCTCAAGATTTTAAAACGCGTATGTAGGGGAGAGGTTTCTACACCCTTATAAAAAGTGTTTCGGTCTCCTCCCCAACTGATGTGCGATCTCACAATCCATCCCCCTTCAGGGCCCAACATCCTTGCTAGCACTCATTCCCTTCTCCACCCCCTTCGGGGCTCAGCCTCCTCGCTAGCACATCGCTTGGTATCTGGCTCTAATACCATTAGCAACCGCCCAAGCCCACCGGTAGCAAATATTGTCCTCTCTAAGCTTTCTCTTTCGAGCTTCCCCTCAAGGTTTTACAACGCGTCTACTAGAGAGAGGTTTCCACATCCTTATAAAGAATGCTTCGTTCCCCTCCCCAAGCGATGTGGGATCTCACAATCTACCCCCTTCAAGGCCCAACGGATGCGGGCACTCGTTCCCTTCCCTTCTCCCATTTATGGGATCTCACATTATCATTAATATTTTGAGACAGCTATCGACAAGTTTTGAGGCAGCTATAAACAGAGGAACCACACATGATCTCATATCAATAATTAGTCTAACAGTCTTTTAAGATTTAAATCTCATTCTTTTTAGTAAATATCTAATATAGAGATCATCATCTATCAACACAATCAACCAGACATGGTATCATCTGACAAGATATTAAGAGTATATAATTCTTAGAAAAAGAGCTATGATTTTACTTACAGATGTTAACGCTGGTGCTTCCACACTTCTTTTATACAGAATATGGATATAATTATGCTGATCCCTCCACGATGAGCACCAAGTTTCCAGTCTAGTGTAGCATCAGGTCTTCCTACAAAGCCATAAAAGAGCATGGAAAGAGTAGGAATCTTCCATAGTTGACCTTCCGCACCCCGATTGAGCGGTTCGGTTCTTTCGGGTCTGAAGTAGGCATCTCCCACGATGCAAGCTGCAATGTTCATCGCTATGACCATTTCTTACTTAGACGCTCCTGCAACCTGCATTCTTCTTCTTTAGTTATGTGTGGGTCGAGATTGCGAAGGTTGGAGACGAAACTACTTGCCTCGTCCCGACGATTTAGTTTACAGAACCAATCTACTAGAGAGTTGTATGTGTTCTGATTCGGCCTACATCCATTCTTGATCATATACCTCACCACGTCAATCGCATCTACAAACATGGAATCAGCTGCATAGCATGAAATGAAGGTATTATACGTAATTACATCAGGGACGATCCCGAAGTCCTTCATCTCTGCAAATATCCGCGAGGCCTCTTTCATTCGACCATTTCGGCAGTAGGCGAAAATAACGGTATTAAATGAAATGATATCGGGCTTCATTCCTTTACCAATAATTTCCCTTAGGACTTCCTCTGACTTCTCAAAGTGCTCGGTACGACTGTACATGTACATTAAGCTATTGTATGTTGTTAAGCTTGGAGTGAAGCCGCTGTCGTTTATGAAGTTCAAAATTTCGTTCGTCTTTGAAACCATCCTTCTCCTACCATAAATAGAAACCATAGCGTTTAGAGTCGTTATATCGGGTGAATAACCTTGTTTCCTTAGTTCTAAGAAAGCACGTTCTGTCTCCGTCAAGAGATCGCTTTTACTATAAACCAAAACCAGTGTCTTCAAAAGCACAGCTTGAGGTTCAATATCGCCGGAATAGATCTCCTCAGCAAGTGCAGACATCCGCTCGATCTCTTTGCCATTGGCATAAGCATGAAGTAAAGAACAGTACGTTAAATCATTTGGTTTACACCTACCACCCTTCATTTCGGCAAGAACTTTCTCCGCCTGCTCCCAAAGGCCTCCCCGAGCCAACGCTGCCAAAACAGCATTGTAAGTCGACAGATCGGGAGTCACCCCGGCATCCAACATTCTTCTATAGATAGTCATTGCTTGATCAAAAGAACCACACCTGCTATAGGCACTCATGAGAGTGTTAAAAGTGTCCCTCTCAGGCACAAAACCTGCCCTCTTCATCTCTCTGAATACTCCTGAGACTTCAGAATCCATACCATTTTGTCCAAACACTGCCAAAAGTGTGTTCCAGGTAACAATATCAGGCACACACTCACATCTCTTAATTTCTTTGAAAACCTTCATCATCTCCTCGAAATTACCCCTGTTACCGTGCATCTTAATCAACGCATTGAACGTGCATATATTTGCTTGGCACCCCGCAGCTCTCATCTCCTCAAATACTCTCATCGCATAGTCGTCCTTTCCCGTCTTCTCAAAACCAGACAACAATGTGGTGTAAGTAAAAACATCAGGCTTAATCCCCTTCTCCACCATCTGTGTTTTTAGCTCCATAGCTTCGTCTAACAAACCACCCCGCGCATAAGCCGATATCAACGAATTGTAAGTAACAATACTAGGCGCAAACCCCCCCGCTTCCATCTCCTTCAAAACCTCCATGGCTTCCTTTGGCCGCCGAGACTTCCCATACACATCTAACAATGCATTGTAAGTAACCTTATCAGGACTAAACCCAGCTGCTTTCATCTCCTCAAACACCTCTGCAGCTTCTTCATACAATGACCCCCGACGACAACTACTAATAAGCGTATTATACGTATACGAATCCGGGGCAATCCCGGAACTCTTCATACTATCAACAAGAGCAGCAATCTTACTCCAAGGCATTCCCATTTTCCCATAGACATTCAAGATAACATTATAAGTGATTAAAGTTGGTCTACAACCTTCTTCTTCCAGTTTCTTAAACACCATCACAGCCTCTCTATACCTCCCATTATTAGCATAAGCAGTTATCAAAGAAGTATAAGCATAAATATCTATATTAACTCCATCATTTCGAAGCTCATGAAGCAAAGAAGAAGCAGAAGAAGCCCGACCCTCTTTACCAAGTACACTAATAATCACAGCAATCACAGAGCTACTCAAAATGGAAGCAAAATCCTCCCGATTGCGAACAAAATCAAACACACGCAAGGCCAATTCATTCTTCTTGTTAAACACTAACCCTTTGATTATCGCCGAAATGTCTAAGGAAACAGACTCGGAGGTGAAATTAAGTCCTTCGGGACTGGTTTCAAACAATTGAAGCAAAATTTCATTCAACGAGGAGGCATCGAATTCGGGGTGAAGTAAAGAATCGTGAATTCGCTGACCTTGAGTAGAGAGACGGTGGTGCGACCATGGCTTCCCGCGATTCGGGTCGCGGGACCGGCCGATTCGGCTGCGGGATTTGAAAGTGGATTTGGGAAGATGTGGTTGAGGGGAATAGGAGTCTTTATGGGGAAGAAGTAGGTCTTGGAGAATAGGGGATATGTGGGATGATGATGATGATGAAGAAGAAGAAGAGAGCGACGGCGGCGGCGGAGAAGAGTGTGAAGCGGGCTGGTGGTGGAAGACAGGGAAGAGGGGCTTGGAGGGCGGCGGATTGGGGAGGAGGAGGGGAAGAGCAACCTTGTCCGCCATTTTTGGCCACCGCAGAGCTTCGCGGGGTTGAGGATTTTGCAGTAGTGGGGTTTAACTGAAGTTGTGGTCTCTCTGGATTTGAAGATGAAGATATTTTAATTTAATTTAATTTTTTTTTTTTTTTACAGCAATAAATTTTATAAAATTTCTATTTTCTACAATTTTTTTCCTAAAATTTGAATTTATTCTAAAAAAAAAATTATTTTCACATTAAAAAACATTAAATATTAAAAAAAAAATTAAATATTTATTTCGGTCGATATTGTTTGAGTTTTCATTTTTAAAATTTAATTCTTATTATTATAATATTTTAATTTCATAAAGTTTTTGTATTAATATTATAATATTTATTTAAGTCGAAATTGTCCTTTTATGTGAAATATAATCGTTGTTGTACTAAATTTGAACAACATATAGAGACTAAAATGAAATCACAGGACTCGAACCGTGGGAAGTCATGAAATCGCAAGACCCAAATTGCGAAAGCCATGACTAAAATAAAACCGTAGGATTTGAATGAAATTTTAAACTTCGTAGGGTAAGACGAAAACCCTATAATTTTTCATGGGGTGCGTTTAGAAGCTCGTGTTGTTTAATTTTAGCAACTACACTATGACTAGCAACGACATACCAATAGATAATACCATGTTTCACCACGGAGTGACGGTCAAATTGACTAATATTTATACATCGAGGCACTCGAGACTAAGATAGGGCGAACGGAAGCAGAAAAAGCAGGCATGTAGAGTACAAAAGTAACACATTTTACCCAAACTAATGAGTAACAAAGATTTCCATAGAACAATCCCTACATAAACATGTTCTTACAAAAGCTTCTTCTCTATCCAACTACTTAACAAAAAGAGAGCTATGAACTGCAGGATTCAGTGAGCAGTGTACCTGAGCTACTCCCAAAACAAACAAACAAAGTTCATCTTCCGTTCTTCAAATCATCATAGAAAGTGGGAACTTATTAGCCCAGCAATCTCCAGAAACCCGACTTCATCTTTCCCTCCGAATATTTTCTTCAGCTTCTCGTCGCACATTATGATTTTCTTGTCGCTAGGTTTCTGTAAGAATGAAGAAATTATAATAAACAAAACAATGAATCGACTCGACTTCGGAGTTAGGGGTTCCATGATTTGAACCCCTGATAATTTCTAGGGAAATAACTACGTCCCAAATTATGATTTTCTTGTCACTGGGTTTCTATAAGAATGAAGAAATTATCAAAAACAGAACAACTAAACGACTCGACTTCGGGGTTCTGGGGTTTGTACCCCTGATGCCTAAGGAGCCAACTATGTTGCAAATTATGACTTTCTTGTCACTAGGTTTCTATCCGAATGAAGAAATTATCATAAACAAAACAACAAATCAACTCGACTTCGGGGTTTTAGGGTTCCGTGCTTTGAAACCCTGATTTCTAATGAGCCAACTACTTTGCAAATTATGATTTTCTTGTCACTAGGTTTCTATAAGAATGAAGAAATTATAAAAAAACAAAACAATGAATCGACTTAACTTTGGGGTTCTAGGGTTCATGAGCCAACTACATTGCAAATTATGATTTTCTTCTCACTAGGTTTCTATAAGAATGAAGAAGTTATAAAAAATAAAACAACGAATCGCCTCAACATTCGGGTTTTGGGGTTTCGTGCTTTGAACCCTTGATTTCTAAGGAGCCAACTATGTCGCAAATTATGATTTTTTGTCACTAAGTTTCTATAGGAATGAAGAAATAATCGAAAACAAAACAACAAATCGACTCAACTTTAGGGTTGTGAGGTTGTATGCTTTCAACCCCTAATTTCTAAACCCTAAACCCTAATTGCTAGCCGATATTGTCGTTCCCATATAAACTTTCCTTTTTGGGGTTTCCCTCAAGGTTTTTAAAACGCGTCTACGAGGGAGAGGTTTCCACACCCTTCGTTCCCATCTTCAACCGATGAGAGATCTCACAATCCACCCCCTTCGAGAACCAGCGTCTACGATGGCACACCGCCCGATATGACAACATCGGCTAGCGGTGGACTTAGGTGTACACTAACCTCCAAAACCCTCGTTTCAGACCAAGACATTTTCAAGCCATGCCAATACATCTTACAGCCTCCTCAGAACCAAACAACTCTGAGCAAAAATCTCCTAAACTTGCAAACTTCACTAATACAAAAGGCCACATTCTAAAGCATCTTGGAAACAAATGATTTATGAGTGGAAGAAACATAATCTAACGGTCATTAAAGAGTATTCTAGAAAGAAAACTGTAAGAAAATTCTAAAGAACAAGATCCAATGTCTTGTTCTGAAAGGAGATCTTGGATTAATTTCAGCACAAGATATTCTTCATCCATGGCGATACATCAAACAACAGAACTCAAGAAAAAAAATACCATAAACTTGAAGGATTATTCTCTGAAAACTAGTAACATCAACAGATGAATGAAAGAACAACGAGGAATGAAAAAAGAAAAATAAAAAACAACAGAGGAAGGAGAGAGTCTACCTGAAGATTATGTTCTTTAATGTGAGCCCAAATAACCTTAAGGGCTTGGGTACGAGAAATCTCGGGAGCACCAACAAGCGCCTGCATCTCCGGCGAAATCCTCCGGGGCTTCATGATGCCACGGGGCTGCCGGGAGGACGCAGTGGCCTGGTTGGAGGCGGAAGCGAAGGTAATGGTGCGGGAGAAGCGCAAATTAGGCAAAGGAAGTTGATAAGGATGCTTGACGGAGGAGACGACAGCGGAGGCTCTGGCGAGGAGGAGCGACAGCTCGCCGGAGACGAAGGTGGAGACGAAAGCCATGGCCGGAACTGACGACTGGTTGCGTGCACGTTGGAAAAATGGATAGAGCGAAGATGAAGCGGTGAGACGAGAAGCTCGAAAGTCGAAAGTCTGAACGCGCGTTAATCCATTCAGGTTAGCTGGAATTACAACAATGCCATTATTGGGCTCTGGGCCTATTCTGGAAAATGGGCCGGCCCAATTATGGTAAAAGTGGGCCGGCCTACTTATATGGATATTTTAGGGATTTCCTTATTTAATATTTCGGCTCAAATGGCAAATTTGGGGATTAAACCTATAAATAATATTTAGTAAATTTCTAAATTGAGTCTCTAACATCATGGTTGAAGGGATTAGAAAGAGTAAAAATAATAATGATAAAGTTCGTAAAACCCGAACCACGAACCGAATATTTTTTACAAACCCAAAATTATGTGTAATGAACTCCAAACTTGATCCAAATATTTTTTATTTCAGAAAATTCACCTAACCCGACTCGAAATACTAACTCAACCCAATCCAACCCCTATAATTTGGGTTAGGTCGGTTTGAGTTGTCGGGTTCAATATACACCCATATATAACAGTGAACGGTCCGACCTCTTAATTGAACTAAAAAAAATTAAATTACGAGTTTAGTTCATAAAAATTTAGATTTATGTCTAATATATTTATGAATTTTTTAAAAGATATTAAATTTTCAATTTTTATCCAATAAGTTCAGAATATTTAATATTTCGATAAATTTTAGATTTTGTGTAGAATAAATTCTTAAATTTTTTAACTTATATTTTTAAGCCTATTTTACATATGTTTATTAGATATAAAATTAAAATTTTAAGAATTTATAAAACACCATTTAATTGGATGTCCCATAAATTAATTAATTTAAAAAAATATTAAAAATTTAGGAACTTAATTCAAATTAAATAAAAATAAAATAAATATATGTCTATAATGGGATAAAAATATATTTTTTTTAATGAATAATAAATTTGGTTAATAGGAGAACTCATAAACAACTCAATTAATAAAATTTTCACTTAATTCAAATACAAAAAAACAATCCAAAACGCACCGTTTTAGTGTTCCACAAATTTTGGAAATTACATTTATTTTTATTTAAACAACATTGTTCTGAAAATTACCGTCCCGCCGGTGGTAGAAGAAAGTTTTTCGGTCGACTTTAGCCTCGCCGGAATTCTGAATTTCTTCCCGTAAAGATCTGTGTGCGCTTCTCATTCTGTTCTTTGTTCAGTGGATGAAGTTCATGATCGGGAAGTGTTCGATGATATGTCTCAGAAGCCAAAACGCAAATGGTTAATGGCAAATCTTATGCTATGCGCTCTTCGTGTATAAATCCTGAGTTCATCAATCTCTCCGACCTCCTCCAAGGCCGGATTAATAGTTCCCGCCTCCGTCAAATTCACGGCCGCGTCTTTCGTCTGCTGAAGCATCAGGACAATCTAATCGCAACTCGACTAATCGGCCACTACCCACATTCTGTTGGAATCAGAGTCTTCAATCAACTCCTACGGCCGAACATATTTCCTTGCAACGCGATTATCAGAGTACTTGCTGAATCGAATTGTTCGTTTCTTGCCTTTTCCATCTTCAAATCTTTGAAGCGGCTTTCACTTTCCCCTAATGATTTCACTTTTTCTTTCCTTCTCAAGGCGTTTCACCGTTCCAGCCATTCTCCTAATGTGAAACAAGTTCATACCCAGGTCATGAAAATGGGTTATTTGGGTGATTCTTTTATCTCCAATGCTCTTCTTGGAGTCTACGCGAGAGGTTTACAGGATATGTGTTCTGCACATAACATGTTCGACGAAATGTCTGAGAGAGAAATGGCTTGTTGTTGGACTTCTTTGATTGCTGGCTATGCTCATATGGGTCTTGTTGAAAAGGCTCTGCTGCTTTTTGTGATGATGATCAAAGAGAATATCCAGCCCGTGGATGACACCATGGTTAGTGTTCTATCTGCTTGTTCTAAGCTTCAAATTGCTGAAATTGAAAAATGGGTTGCAGAATTAACACAATTGATTAATGAATTTGCTTCCTGTGGTGATTCAATCAATATTGTTCTTGTTTATCTATATGGGAAGTGGGGGAAGATTGAGAAGAGTGAAGAAAAGTTCAGTGAAATTGTTGATAAGAGAAGTGCTATTGTTTGGAATTCAATGATAAATGCATATTTTCAAAACGGTTGCCCTGTGGAGGCCTTGACCCTTTTCCGTCTAATGCTTGAGAATCCCCATTGCAAACCCAACCATGTCACAATGGTTACCGTCCTTTCGGCTTGCGCTCAAATTGGAGATTTGCAGCTCGGTCGTCGGGTTCATGAAGCTCTCGAACACGGCGGGCGCAGAGGTATCATTGCATCAAACAAAATGTTGGCCACTGCATTGATTGATATGTATTGTAAAAGTGGGAGTTTGGAGAAGGCAAAACAAGTTTTTCATGAACTAATCTGCAAAGATGTAATCTCCTTCAATGCCATGATCATGGGCCTTGCAGTAAACGGCAAAGCCGATGAGGCATTGAAGCTTTTCTCCCAAATGCAAGAGTCTGATATAAAACCAACCACTGGAACATTCATTGGCTTACTATCTGCTTGTAGCCATTCGGGGTTTCTCGAACAAGGACATCAAATCTTCATTCAAATGGCTACCCGCTACTCGACGTCACCTAGTCTAGAACACTATGCTTGTTACATTGATCTCCTTGCTCGAGCGGGCTGTGTTGAGGACGCTCTTAAAGTTGTTTCAACCATGCCTTTTGAACCTAATAACTTTGTTTGGAGTTCTCTGCTGAGAGGCTGCCTGCTTCATTCGAGATTCGAGTTGGCACGATATGTTTCGAAAAAGCTTGTTGAAGTAGATCCTGAAAGCTCTGCTGGGTATGTAATGCAGGCGAATTCATTTGCCACTGATCTTCAATGGGATGATGTCTCGGCTTTGAGATGGTTTATGAGAGAAAAGGGTGTTCATAAGCAGCCAGGGCGGAGTTGGATCAGTATAAATGGGATTGTGCATGAATTCTTCTCGGCAACCAAATCACATCCTTGTGTTGATCTGTTATACAGTACGTTGAGTGAGCTTGAAAGGCAAATGAAGCTGGTAATCCCATAGAAAAGAAGCCTCACAAGGTATTGAATGCGTTTATCTAGCAATCATTTTACCTTTGTGAAATTTTGGGCGAAGATTCCAGGCAAGAAATCTGTAGGGATTGCTCTACAGAATTTTTTTTCCCTTACGGGAATTTGGAGGGCTCAAGGGTGCATACGGGAGCGAGGAATATAATCGTCGTTTTTGTCCCCGTTTGATTAAGAGGGATAAAGTACCTTCTCACTCATTCCCTCGTTCTCCATTTAAATGGGGATTCACCCCCTTATAATTATTGATAAACACTAGACAACTATATATTCCTTGTTTTTGTCCCCGTTTGCCTAAGAGGGATAAAATACTTGCTCACTCCTTCCCTCCATTTAAATGGGATTCACGATTGGATTCCTTCCCTCCATTTAAATGGGATTCACGATTGGATTCCTTCCCTCTATTTAAATGAGATTCACGATTGGATTCCTTCCCTCTATTTAAATGAGACATTTAAATGGGGATTCACGATTCACCAAGAACTCTCTCCACATTCTTGAGCTTCAACAACAATTTATTCAAGAACTCTCTCCTGGAATTCACGATTCACCAAGAACTCTCTCCACCAAGAACTCTCTCCACATTCTTGAGCGTCAAGAACTCTCTCCACATTCTTGAGCGTCAAGAACTCTCTCCGCATTCTTGACCAACATGGTCTTGAAATGTGCTTCAACAACATGGTCTTGAAATGTGCCTTCAACAACAATCTATTGGTTTTGAAATGTGCATAATAGTACCAAATAAAAGGAAAATGAGTACCAAACAACAAAACAAAGCTATTAAATTGCGTACTAACAAACAATGTTTTTAAAGTTGGTTGGTACAAAATGGCCATTCGAGATCTTAAAGTCACAGATCCATTTTACATAGAACTATTTTCTTTGTTCAAGTATAAATAAACTCGGACTGAAATTGACAGGGGCCGCGCGAACGCAGGCCCCCACTACCACAAATAACGACGTAGGTTCCGCCACTTTGGGCAGACCTTAGACGGGCACCCCTCCCACAGTGCAATGGAGGTCACCGATCTAGGCCATGAGCCTTCATGATCGCCCATTGACCCCGTCCAGGTAAGTATGTTGCAACGCACCTCTCCCATCATATTTATAGGCCCCCCATACAGCCACCTCCTCCACTTTTTCGATGTGGGACAAGTATAACCAAATTTAGCTTCTCTCCTTTCACCTCTTGGCTAGTAAAAATGTCCTATTCTCAATTCTTCACCCAAATTTTTTACCTCAATTTTTTAAACCTTATAGTAAAAATTTACTGTAAAAACTAGTTCTACCATTCAAATTTTCGATCATTATTTTAATATCATATATATTCAGTTATCGAAACCCGACACATCTAAAACATTTTTCAGCATAACATTTCAGATACACGCTTTGAGTGATTCGAATCCATAATTTTAAAACGTCCCAACATTTTTAAACTGAACTAAGTCAAAAGAACGGAAGGGAAGAAAATGGGTATTTATATATATATGGAGATCAAAAGTCCCAAACAAGAAATGGGCTAATAATAATAATAATCAAAATGAAATGAAATAAGGAACAGGCAAAATGAAGAATAATGAAAACCCAACATAGACAGCATAAAAAAGGAAGAAATCTAAGCCATCATCAATACATATCCCATTCCAATCAACATGCTCCCCAACACTGTCTCCTTTCTCCAACTTTTCTCCACTCCACTCTGCAAATAATAATAATAATAATAATAATGTCCATCAACCCGACATATCGTGTTAGCATTTTCATGAATATATGTTCGATGATAATGACTAACAAAAAACGTAGCGTGAAATGCAAGAAGATCTAGAAGTTTTCGTTCATGTTCTTGTCATAAAAGTTTACAAGCTTTAAAGGCTTTTAATTTTGTGTGTATTAATTAGCTTATAAGTTGATTTCTATATAATTTTAAAATAAATTTTATATGTAATAGGACGGTAAAATTTTAATTTACATGGAATCTAGGATCGAAGGTCTATAAACTCTTGATTTGTGTAGGATAATTTTAAAATTAAAAAAATGTAAAAAATGAGTTACATTTTTTTGGATGAATCTAAAAAAAAATTATTTGAAAATGTAGAATTATTAGTTTAATAACATCAAAATTTAAACTTTAAAATTTTAGTAGAAGATTAATGTATGATTAGTGGAAGTATATAATGAAGCTTACATTGTCGTTTTGAGATGGGGTAGGAGATTCTGGGCCGGCGGGTCCTGGACCCTCCGCGGATGGCATCGGCGGGCTCGAAACTGGGGCCGAACCTGGAGCCGCCTTCAACTTCTTCTTACTGGGTGCAGGAGCCGGAACCGCCGCTGGTGGTGATGCCAGTGGTGCAGGAGGTGGAGTGGCTGGTGGTGGGGTTGCAGGTGGAGGAGTTGCCGGTGGTGGGGAAGCTGGAGGAGGAGTGGCTGGTGGTGGGGATGCCGGAGGAGGAGTGGCTGGTGGTGGGGATGCTGGAGGAGGAGTGGCTGGTGGTGGGGATGCTGGAGGAGGAGTGGC